TCATACTCATTCCTTCATCCAGTGTTGACCCATCTCGCCTTAGTACTCATATCCTTCCTTTTTCGACCACACTCATCACTTTCCCCTTTCCTCTTTCCTTCCTTCCTCCCCTTCCACACCGATTGCTCCCACCCTGAATCCAATCAGGTTACACGGTTTCTTCAGTTGCCGGCCAGTGGCCCGACCTAGTCTCCTCCCTTGTCTTATTCAACTCCGCCGGCCGAATCGACCCAGAAATTCCCATCCCTGCCACCTCGTCCTCCTCTTCCTCTGTTTCCTCTGATTCCTCCTCCTCCTCGCCCCCGTCTCCGCCTCCTGATGGTCCGTTATCCAAGGGCCCTCCCAAGCCGGTGGCCTGGCTGCTCTCCCGTGCACTTTTTCTCTACCTGCGCTTCAACACAGGCCCCATTCTCAAACGTTGTTATCCCGTGGTGAGTCCCTAGTCCCTCTCTCCCTCCCTGTGCTGTCCTGTGCTCTCCCTATGCTCTATCGTGCTCTCTTCCTCTACCTCCGCTTCAACACAGGCCCCATTCTCAAGAGCTGCTACCCTGTGGTGAGTCCCTAGTCCCTCTCTCCCTCCCTGTGCTTTCCTGTGCTCTCCCTGTGCTCTCTCGTTCTCTCTTCCTCTACCTGCGCTTCAACACAGGCCCCATTCTCAAGAGCTGCTACCCTGTGGTGAGTCCCTAGTCCCTCTCTCCCTCCCTGTGCTGTCCTGTGCTCTCCCTGTGCTCTCTCGTTCTCTCTTCCTCTACCTGCGCTTCAACACAGGCCCCATTCTCAAGCGCTGCTACCCCGTGATAAGTTCCCTAGGCCCGGGCTTTGAGGATTTGAAATGTCATTATTTTCCAGTTCAACAGGTGGTGGAGGTGGTGGAGAGTGGAGCACCCCCCTCCTTGCCCCTCCACTCCAGCAGTTCACTAAATATTTATGTTCCCCTTATCCCCACCAGAGGCCTGAGTGAGAGGGCGGATGACTGGCTTCTAGGGGAGATCTCCCGAGCAGCCACCGATCAGGGGCAGAGGAGAGGAGGTGGTGGAGAGTGCATTCTACCTGCCCCTTTCCTTACTTATGATCCCTTGTGTTTCAAACCCCTTGTTCCCCACCAGAGGCCTGAGCGGGCGGACGACTGGTTGCTAGGGGAGATCTCGCGAGCAGCCACGGATCCAGGGGCGGTGGAGGTGGCGGAGAGTGCATTCTACCTGCCCCTTTCCTTACTATGATCCGTTGTGTTTCAAACCCCTTCTTTCCCACCAGAGGCCTGAAAGGGCAGACGACTGGCTCCTGGGTGAAATCTCACAAGCAGCGACGGACCCGGGGGCGGTGGAGGTGGTGGAGAGTGCATTCTACCTGCCTGCTTCCTTGCGCTCCAACCTTAGTTTCATGCCATCGGTCTCTCGATCTCCCACCAGAGGCCTGAACGAGCGGATGATTGGCTACTTGGCGAGATTTCCCGAGCAGCCACGGATCCGGGGGCGGTGGAGGTGGTGGAGAGTGCATTCTACCTGCCCCATCCTTACTCTTAGTTCCTCTTCTTTCAAACCCGTTAATTCCCACCAGAGGCCTGAGAGGGCAGACGACTGGCTTCTCGGAGAGATTTCGAGAGCAGCCACGGACCCGGGGGCGGTGGAGGTGGTGGAGAGTGCATTCTATCTGCCCAAGCCAGAGCCTCTCAACAGCCTGCTCATCCGATACGGCGGGCCAGTGCTCGTGCTGCAGGTACGGTCATACGTTTTACTGGCTGGGGTACGTACGGTTGCTTAAGCGCAGTGACTCAGGTGGGTAGTGTTGTGTTCGGAGAAGTCGAGATGGTGGAGAGAAGAGCACGTTCCACTTGCCCTAAACCCGAAACCCTAAACCCGAAACCCTGCTACTTACTTCCCCTCTCTCCCCTCGATCCTTTCTGTTTGCAGCAGCCATCCTCCACTGCCCTGCCCTTCGTCTCTCAAACCAGGCTTTCACCCCTGTTTGTTCCCCTCCTAATCTTACCCCTCTCCCTTCCCTGCAGGGTAGTCTCGACCCTATCAACGATGCAGTGGCAAGGGCCAGCCTCCCTCGTACTAATGTTTCCCCTCCTGTTGCCCTCCTGTTGCACTCCTTTCCTCCTCTCTCTCCTCCTTTGCACCCCCTTCCCTGCAGGGTAGTCTCGACCCTCTCAACGATGCAGTGGCAAGAGCCAACCTTATTACGGCCACCTGCCCTGGGGTCGCCCTGAAGCTGCTCAAAGCAGGTGGGTGCTGCTTGAAACAAATAAGACGTCCTCTTGCGCTACCACTAACAACAACCTATCTGTTGTTGCACTGAAATCACGGTATGTCTGCTATACTTGGAAACTTGCGTGAAGACTTTTGAGTCGACTCAAAAAACAACCTATCGGTTGTTGCACTGAAATCACCTATGTCTGCTATACTTGGAAACTTGCGTGAACGCGCACCTTATCAGCTTGACTCCACACGGCACAGCTCCCCATGATGAAGTGCCAGAGCAGGTGGCACGCCACATGGACCAATGGCCCGGTTTTGCACACACAGGCTTTCCTTTCACTCCCATCTCCATTCCCCCACATTCCACCCCCTCACTTCCCCCCTTCCCTTCCGCAACCACCACAGGGCACTGCCCCCATGATGAGGTGTCAGAGCAGGTAGCCTCCCACATGGACCAATGGGCTGGTTCTCTAGACATGCCTCCCATTCACATCCCATCTCCATTGCCCCGCACCCCCACTCCCCTTCCCCTCCTTTCCCTCTCTCTTTCCCTCCCCCTTTCCCTCCCCCTTTCCCTCCCACTTCTCCATCACAGGTCACTGCCCCCATGATGAGGTGCCAGAGCAGGTGGCGTACCACATGGACCAATGGGCTCGTGCCACGTGGTGTTCTGTGGGTGAGGAGGAGGGCGACCGGCCAATGGGAGCGTGGCGCACGGCAGCAGCGGCCAGATCTCCAGCCGATGCTCTTGAGATATTGGAGGAGGAGGCGGCTGTGGGGGTGTTTGGGGGGGTATTGGGAGGAGAGAAGGGGACTGGAAAGAAGAGTAAAACGGAATAAGCAGAAAGAAGCAGCAACAGAAGCAGCAGCTGCAGCAGCAGCAGCAGCAGCAGCCAGACGTCAGAAGAGGTGGCCGTTGTGGGTGTTAGGGGAGTATTGTGGATGATTGAAAAGAAAGGAGGTCATGCAGGAGGAGCAAATGATGGTGGGTTGGGGGAGGCAGAGGGTGGATAAGGGTTATGATTTCACCAAGGAAGAGTAGCAAAGAAAGAGAAGAAACAAAGAGGAAACGAAGAGGAGAGAAACGAAGCAGAGAGGTGAGGTCCTCATTCAATCATGCCACGTCATAAGGTTATTCTAAAGAAGGTGAATCTTCTTCTGACAACTGTGGTTTTTTTCCCATGCTAAGTTCTTATCACCAGTCCAGCTTGTGTTAACATTTTGAGCACGAGAATTGACAGCACACTGTTGTGGCAATGTCAAGCGAAACACTTATTTAAGGAATTCCTCTGTAGTAGAAAAAACATCATGTGAGAGCTGAGGTGGCAATGGCAATGCTCACAATGGAGTGAATGCATACTGGGACCACCGCCAAGTTCTGGGGACTGTGCCCTTCAATTATCCGCAATATTCCTACAGTATTCCACACCCTGTAACAAGATTCATTAGTAAACTTGTACATAACAAACACACAAAATTCCAATCCAAGCACCTGCCGAGAGAAGGCCACTTGCATCCATACATGAACCATGGGCGTGGGGAGTATAATTACAGGAGGTCCGCAAAATCTCGACTGCTTAGCTACCCTTGGGCTTGGCTGGGTACCGTATCTGGGAGTCTGAGACGCACCAGAGCACCTGGAAGCTTCTCACCCGAGCCTTTTTATCGGATTGTTGGAACAAATCCTACCGTATAGCACACGGTGGTAAGCAGGCCCCACACACGGCAGTAGCATGCAACCAGAAACCTCAGCTGATACCCGCAGCACTGCACACTGACTTTTACTACACATGTGGTTGTCAGCCTGTCAGGTGGCCATTCGTGCATATCCAGTCGCCACGTAACCATCCCAGCATTATCCCTGAGGTTCCCAGGCCATCATGGCCAATAGGGGGTTGCCCTTCCACGTCAGCACCACACTAGCTTCGTCCACTCTTCGCACGTCATGTCCCACCTTGTTGTACCTGCCACGTGTCAGCATGCCACAAGTCAGCATGCCACGTGTCAGAACCATTTGTCAGCATGCCACATGTCAGCACCATTTGTCAGCATGCCACATGTCAGCATGCCACATGTCAGCACCATTTGTCAGCATGCCACATGTCAGCACCATTTGTCAGCATGCCACATGTCAGCACCATTTGTGAGCATGCCACATGTCAGCACCATTTGTCAGCATGCCACGTGTTGTCATCCCACATTCCGCATGCCACATGCCATCGTGCCACGGCAAAACATGTCACACAGAACAGAAGAGAATGAAGTTTGTCAGTCACGCATGCAAAGTGGTAACTGCAAAACATTGTAACAGCACACGCAAGGTGGTAACCACCCTCTTGCTCAGTCCCTGAAGCTTCAAAAGAAAACTTTCGCATTTGCTGCTGCCACTGCATCAGAGGCTCGTACATTTACCTGATGTAACGTGCAACGTTGTAACCCCAGTCGTAACCACTTGAATCAGCAACCCCACCCATGACTGAAACAATGCATGGAGGGTGGTAACCCCACCCTCAAGGCTTGAACCCTGCCCCTAGAATTCGCTGTCCTCTATTCCAACACCTCTTACCTTTCCATGTCTCTCTCATACACAGTGGTAAAATAACCCCACTCGCGTTTGTACCAATGTATGCAGGGAGGTAAGCATCCCTTCGCTCAGTCCCCAAGGTTTGAAACCAGCCCTTAGCATCCTCTCCTGCCACTGCTCTAAAGGCTCTTACCTTTTCCTCTCTCTCACATACAAAGTGATATGGTAACCCCACTCACGTTTGTAACAGTGCATGCAGGGTGGTAACCACCCCCTCACTCAGTCCCCGAGGCCTGAATCCCGCCCTCTGCATCCTCTGCTGCCACTGCTCCAACGGCTCTTACCTTTCATGTCCCTCACATGCACACCGCCATGCTAACCCCACTCACGTTTGTAACAGTGCATGCAGCGTGGTAACCACCCCTTCGCTCTCTCCTCGAGGCTTGAATCCCGCCCTCTGCATCCTCTGCTGCCACTGCTCCAACGGCTCTTACCTTATCATGTCTCTCACATGCACACCGCCATGGAAACCCCACTCACGTTTGTAACAGTGCATGCAGCGTGGTAACCACGCCTTCGCTCACTCCTCGAGGTTTGAACCCCGCCCTCTGCATCCTCTGCTGCCACTGCTCCAACGGCTCCTGCCTCTCCACCCTCTCCTGCCCCTCACACGCTCCCGCTCTTACCTTTTCCTGTCACTAACATACAGAATGGTAACCCCACTCACGTTTGTAACAGTGCATGCAGCGTGGTAACCACGCCTTCGCTCACTCCTCGAGGCTTGAATCCCGCTCTGAGCATCCGCTGCTGCCACTGCTCCAACGGCTCCTGCCTCTCCACCCGCTCCTGCCCCTCGCATGCCACCAGATTCACAATCGCCCGGCCTAGCACCTGTCAGTCAGGTAGGACGGACGGAAGCAAGGGAAACGAGCGTGTGAGTGTTAGTTTCCAATGGTTCTTGCCTCTCCCCCCTCACCTGCCCCTCGCATGCCACCAGATTCACAATCGCCCGGCCGAGCACCTGGGAGATGGGAGGAGATGAGATGGGAGAAAGAGAGGAGAGAGAAAGAAACCACCAGCAAGCAACGACTGATGGACGAACGGACAAACAGACAACGAAACCCACCTGCTCTTCAAACACTCGTCTGGCGGCCTCGTTTCTCGGCAGCGACGCGTCGATCGACTCAAAGAGCGCCGCATAGTAATAGAGCGCTTCATAAAATCTCGCGAGGAAGAAGGGCCAGGAGTGGTTGCTGTATTGCTCCACCACCGTCACCACTTTAGGCCTCAGCAGCAAGCATGCAGGCCCTGACACGCCCACACGACCAGCAAGCACAGAAAGACGGACGGATGGACGGACGGACGGACGGACGGACGGACGGACGGACGGACAGACAGACAGACAGCGAGACCCACCTGCTCTTCAAACACTCGTCTGGCGGCCTCGTTTCTCAGCAGCGACGCGTCGATTGACTCAAAGAGAGCCGCATAGTAGTAGAGCGCCTCGTAGAAGCGCGCGAGGAAGAAGGGCGAGGAGTGGTTGCTGTATTGCTCCACCACCGTCACCACCTTGGGGGAAAGCAAGCAAGCAAGCCGCCCTTAAACGAGGCTCACCTGCTCCTCAAACACTCGTCTGGCGGCCTCGTTTCTCGGCAGCGACGCGTCAATCGACTCAAAGAGAGCCGCATAGTAGTAAAGAGCCTCGTAGAATCTCGCGAGGAAGAAGGGCGAGGAGTGGTTGCTGTATTGCTCCACCACCGTCACCACCTTGGGGGAAAGCAAGCAAGCAAGCCGCCCTTAAACGAGGCTCACCTGCTCCTCAAACACTCGTCTCGCGGCCTCGTTTCTCGGCAGCGACGCGTCAATGGACTCAAACAGCGCAGCGTAGTAGTAAAGGGCCTCGTAGAAGCGCGCGAGGAAGAAGGGCGAGGAGTGGTTGCTGTATTGCTCCACCACCGTCACCACTTTGGGGCGCAGCAGCAAGCTGCCCTGAAACGCCTCAGACCCAAAAACAACGATCGGGGACAGACAGACAAGCACTTGAGACCCACCTGCTCCTCAAACACTCGTCTGGCGGCCTCGTTCCTCGGCAGCGACGCGTCAATGGACTCAAACAGCGCAGCGTAGTAGTAAAGGGCCTCGTAGAAGCGCGAGAGGAAGAAGGGCGAGGAGTGGTTGCTGTACTGCTCCACCACCGTCACCACCTTGGGCCGCAGCATCCGGATCGTGCGCAGCACTCGCATGCGCGGGGATTCGTCCGAATCTGCCCTCTCCAAATACGACCTGTCCGAATCCGCCCTGTCCAGATCTGCCCTCTCCAGATACGACCTGTCCCGATCTGAGCCGTCCATTTCTGCCTTCCCCAGATACGACCTGTCTGCTGCGTCTGAAACAGCCTCGGAAACAGCCTCGGAAGCAGGCTCGGAAACAGGCTTGGCGAAGACCGTGCTAGCTGCGGTGGCAGGGTTGGCAGCGGCGTTGGGCTGCTCTGATTCGTCGAGGAGTTGGGAGAGGCGGAGGGCGCAGTTGGCAGCGATGGCTTCCCCTGGATGCAGGTTGAGCATTGCAGGGGTGACGTCCTCCAGACGAGACATCACCCAGTGGTACTGGAGAGGCACTCTCCACATGGCTGCCACTGCCTGGTGTGGTGGGGGAGGGGGCAGGGAGAGAGAAGACAGGCAAAAGGACAGGAGGAACGGGTGAGGAGAGCACTTCGCCTCACGAAGGAAAGTTTTGCCCAGGTTTAGAGGAAGCTTCCCCTCCAAGATAGGCTCCCCTGGGTGCAGGTTGAGCATGGCTGGAGTGACGTCCTCCAGGCGAGACATGACCCAGTGGTACTGCAGGGGCACTCTCCACATGGCTGCTACTGCCTGATGTGGCGAAAAGGGGTGGGCGGAGGAAAGGAAAGGAGAATGGGGTGAAAAAAACTCTTCGCCCCAAGAAGGAAGCTTCCTCTGGATGGAGGTTGAGCATGGCTGGAGTGACGCCCTCCAGGCGAGACATCACCCAGTGGTATTGAAGGGGCACTCGCCACATGGCTGCCACTGCCTGGATGAGTGGGCATAGGGGAGGGACGGAGAAGGGGAGATGGCTCGAGTGACGTCCTCGAGACGAGACGAGACATCACCCAGTGGTACTGCAGTGCAGAGGCACCCCCCACATGGCTGCTACTGCCTGTTGTGGGGGGGGGAGGGGAGGGGAGATGGGAGAGAGGATAAGGGAGAAGGAGGAGAGGAGGTAAGAGAGAGATGAGCGACACGAGCGAGTGATACTGCAGAGGCACTCCCCTCCTCACATGGCTGCTACTGCATGGCTGCTCTATTCTCCCTTCTCACCTCCAGTCTCTTCCCTGCCTTCATGGCACAGTACGGCGACATGGCCCCACACTGGGGCACCTCTATCCCCGTCACGCGCACGTGGGAGGGGGGGGTTGAGATGCCCCATGGTTCAACTCACCTCCAGCCGCTTCCCTGCCTTCATGGCACAGTACGGCGACATGGCCCCACACTGGGGCACCTCTATCCCCGTCACGCGCACGTGGGAGGGGGGGGTTGAGATGCCCCATGGTTCAACTCACCTCCAGCCGCTTCCCTGCCTTCATGGCACAGTACGGCGACATGGCCCCACACTGGGGCACCTCTATCCCCGTCACGCGCACGTGGGAGGGGGGGGTTGAGATGTCCCATGGTTCAACTCACCTCCAGCCGCTTCCCTGCCTTCATGGCACAGTACGGCGACATGGCCCCACACTGGGGCACCTCTATCCCCGTCACGCGCACGTGGGAGGGGGGGGTTGAGATGCCCCATGGTTCAACTCACCTCCAGCCGCTTCCCTGCCTTCATGGCACAGTACGGCGACATGGCCCCACACTGGGGCACCTCTATCCCCGTCACGCGCACGTGGGAGGGGGGGGTTGAGATGCCCCATGGTTCAACTCACCTCCAGCCGCTTCCCTGCCTTCATGGCACAGTACGGCGACATGGCCCCACACTGGGGCACCTCTATCCCCGTCACGCGCACGTGGGAGGGGGGGGTTGAGATGTCCCATGGTTCAACTCACCTCCAGCCGCTTCCCTGCCTTCATGGCACAGTACGGCGACATGGCCCCACACTGGGGCACCTCTATCCCCGTCACGCGCACGTGGGAGGGGGGGGTTGAGATGCCCCATGGTTCAACTCACCTCCAGCCGCTTCCCTGCCTTCATGGCACAGTACGGCGACATGGCCCCACACTGGGGCACCTCTATCCCCGTCACGCGCACGTGGGAGGGGGGGGTTGAGATGCCCCATGGTTCAACTCACCTCCAGCCGCTTCCCTGCCTTCATGGCACAGTACGGCGACATGGCCCCACACTGGGGCACCTCTATCCCCGTCACGCGCACGTGGGAGGGGGGGGTTGAGATGTCCCATGGTTCAACTCACCTCCAGCCGCTTCCCTGCCTTCATGGCACAGTACGGCGACATGGCCCCACACTGGGGCACCTCTATCCCCGTCACGCGCACGTGGGAGGGGGGGGTTGAGATGTCCCATGGTTCAACTCACCTCCAGCCGCTTCCCTGCCTTCATGGCACAGTACGGCGACATGGCCCCACACTGGGGCACCTCTATCCCCGTCACGCGCACGTGGGAGGGGGGGGTTGAGATGCCCCATGGTTCAACTCACCTCCAGCCGCTTCCCTGCCTTCATGGCACAGTACGGCGACATGGCCCCACACTGGGGCACCTCTATCCCCGTCACGCGCACGTGGGAGGGGGGGGTTGAGATGCCCCATGGTTCAACTCACCTCCAGCCGCTTCCCTGCCTTCATGGCACAGTACGGCGACATGGCCCCACACTGGGGCACCTCTATCCCCGTCACGCGCACGTGGGAGGGGGGGGTTGAGATGCCCCATGGTTCAACTCACCTCCAGCCTCTTCCCTGCCTTCATGGCACAGTACGGCGACATGGCCCCACACTGGGGCACCTCTATCCCCGTCACGCGCACGTGGGAGGGGGGGGTTGAGATGCCCCATGGTTCAACTCACCTCCAGCCGCTTCCCTGCCTTCATGGCACAGTACGGCGACATGGCCCCACACTGGGGCACCTCTATCCCCGTCACGCGCACGTGGGAGGGGGGGGTTGAGATGCCCCATGGTTCAACTCACCTCCAGCCGCTTCCCTGCCTCCATGGCACAGTACGGCGACATGGCCCCACACTGGGGCACCTCTATCCCCGTCACGCGCACGTGGGAGGGGGGGGTTGAGATGCCCCATGGTTCAACTCACCTCCAGCCGCTTCCCTGCCTCCATGGCACAGTACGGCGACATGGCCCCACACTGGGGCACCTCTATCCCCGTCACGCGCACGTGGGAGGGGGGGGTTGAGATGCCCCATGGTTCAACTCACCTCCAGCCGCTTCCCTGCCTTCATGGCACAGTACGGCGACATGGCCCCACACTGGGGCACCTCTATCCCCGTCACGCGCACGTGGGAGGGGGGGGTTGAGATGTCCCATGGTTCAACTCACCTCCAGCCGCTTCCCTGCCTTCATGGCACAGTACGGCGACATGGCCCCACACTGGGGCACCTCTATCCCCGTCACGCGCACGTGGGAGGGGGGGGTTGAGATGCCCCATGGTTCAACTCACCTCCAGCCGCTTCCCTGCCTTCATGGCACAGTACGGCGACATGGCCCCACACTGGGGCACCTCTATCCCCGTCACGCGCACGTGGGAGGGGGGGGTTGAGATGCCCCATGGTTCAACTCACCTCCAGCCGCTTCCCTGCCTTCATGGCACAGTACGGCGACATGGCCCCACACTGGGGCACCTCTATCCCCGTCACGCGCACGTGGGAGGGGGGGGTTGAGATGCCCCATGGTTCAACTCACCTCCAGCCGCTTCCCTGCCTTCATGGCACAGTATGGCGACATGGCCCCACACTGGGGCACCTCTATCCCCGTCACGCGCACGTGAGGCGGGCCCCCAGGGCGAGCCCCCAGCGCCTGGAGCAGCGCCGGCCACTGCAGGGCGTGACCAATGCCAAAGTCTATGATGTGCACTCGAGGCTCGTCCGCTAGAGCTTCGAGGATGGCGCTGTTGGCTGCGACCTGGCCGAAGGTCAGGAAGGGCGTTGCGTTCACGAGTACCTGGAGGGGTGGGGTGGGGTGGGGTGGGGTGAGGTGGGGTGGGGTGGGAGGGGCGGAGGGGAAAGAGGGGAAGGCCGACATTACGATGGGTGACAGCGGGCCACTGGAGGGCATGGCCGATGCCAAAGTCTATGACGGGCACACGAGGCTTGTCCGCGAGAGCTTCGAGGATGGCGCTGTTGGCTGCCACCTGGCCGAAAGTGAGGAAGGGTGTCGCGTTCACGAGTACCTGGAGGGGTGGGGTGGGGTGGGGTGGGAGGGGCGGAGGGGAAAGGGGGGAAGGCCGACATTACAATGGGTGACAGCCGGCCACTGGAGTGCATGGCCGATGCCAAAGTCTATGATGTGCACTCTGGGCTCGTCCGATATGCTTCGAGGATGGCGCTGTTACCCACGACCTGGCCGAAGGTGAGGAAGGGCTTGGGAGCAATGTTCCCATCCCAGGCTCCTCAAAACAGGTGGTTACCTGAAACGACTCCAGCAGTGTGCGGTTGCAGTCGACATTGGGAGGAGAAACGGGCGCAGGCACGCCCCTATAGGCGGGAGGAGGAACCACCAGCCCTGTGGATCCCCCCGGCATCAAGACTGTCCCAAATCAGAGCCGCTTCCCCTGGCATCAAGACAAACAAACAGACCGACAGGTGCTCACCTGGAACGACTCCAGCAGTGTGCGGTTGCAATCAACATTGGGAGGAGAAACAGGTGCAGGCACGCCCCTATAGGCGGGAGGAGGAACCACCAGCCCTGTGGATCCCCCCGGCATCAAGACTGTCCCCTGACTGGAAATTACTGCTGCTTCCCCTGGCATCAGCTCCCCTGCTTCTTGCCTCTGCTCAAACGGCCGCGCTTCCTCTGATAATGGGTCTGAGAGCTCCCCACACGCCTCAGCAGCACCCATCTTGGCCCATTCCATCTCCCCTGCTGCACCCCCCGATCCATTCCCCACCTCCTCCCCCGCACCTACAAACACACGCCCGAAACCCGCCCCATCCCCCCTCCCCTCCCTACACTCCTCCTCCTCCCCTCTTACCGCTCCTCCCGCCCGTTCCTCCCCGCCAATCCTCCTCAGAACTCCGGAGCTCGCATCAAACCTCTCAAACACGTTCGGGGAGTGCTTCGGCGGAGCCCCGGCGACCCTGGCGATCAGCCCTTCGAGAAAATACGCCGAGAGCCTCTGAGTAACCGTCCCATAGACAGAAGCCACCTCGTTGAGGCTTGAGAGCAGCTGGTGCACGCGGGCCTGGTCCCCTGAGACGATGGCCTTGGCGACTGAGACTAAGAGGCCGATTGGGTCTCCCTTCTTGGCGCATTCTCCCCATGAGTCTGGCCCCACGCAGCACGCTGCTTTCCGTGCTCCGAGCTGGTCGTTTCGCGCCTCCGCTGCTGCTATTCCTGCTGCTGGCGCTGCTGCTGCTGCTCCTACTGCTGCTGGAAGCACCTCATTCTCCCCATCAACTGCTCCCGTCTGCTCTGCTCCTCCCGGCCTCATGCCCCTACCCTCACCTCCCGAATCTGGACTAGCCTGCTCTGCTTTGCTGTGGCAGCTGCGGGCAACAGGTAAAAGAGCCTCTACTGCTGGAACCCCTAAATCAGCAGCGGCAGCACCAGAGCTAGCATCAACACCAGCACCAGCAGCAGCACCAGCAGCGGCAGCATCAGCGTCAGCTGTACTGGTAGCTGTGTCACAACAAGCACACATACACACCCCTCCGTCCCCTTCCCCATCCCCCCCAACACAGCAGCACCCTTTTTTCTTGCTTTCCCCCTGACTGCTCGCCCTCTTTCTCTCCTCCCACCGCTTAGTACACTCCCCATGAAGCTTCCTCAGCGCTTCCTCCGCCTGCCGAGCCTCTTCTGGAGTCACCTTCCCCGCCCAAGCCTGCCTCCCGCCCACCCCTTCCTCCAGCAGCTTCGGGCTCCAAGGCGCGGTGGCTTCCGAGCCTGAGCTGGAGGTTCGGAGGCTGCCAGTCGCCGCCGAACGTCCCCTGCCGCCAGTCCCGGTTACAGTGGTGGTGGTGGTGGTGTAACCTGTCGTATCTGTGTAAGAATCTCCCTCAGTCAAACTCCCACTGTTAATGTTATCCATGTCCTTCCCTCGATCCATGAGCTCTTGTACAAAAGCAACCATATCCGCGTCTCTTGAACCGCCTCCTGCTCCTGATGCTGCTGCTACTCCTGCTTCTCCTGCTGCTCCTGCTGCTCCTGCTGCTCCTGCTTCTGCTCCTGCTCCTGCTCCTGCTCCACCCATATTATCCACCAGCATATCGTCAAAAGAATTTCCACCACTACCACCCGCAGCAGCAACACCAGTACCAGCAGCAGCAGGGACGGAAGCAGGGGGAGGAGTGGGGGCGAGAGCCACAGGGAACATATCTTCTAACTCCCCAAACGCGTTGTCAAGCCCATCTAAACCGCGCAGAAACTCCTCTACACCCAGATCCGCCCATCCTGACCCTCCATTCAGCCCCAACTCGGCAATCCCAAGGCTGCTGTCACCGCTCCCAATTGCCCCTAAGCCAGCAGTATTACCAGCTCCCATATCAGTATCAGCACTGTAACCGAAACCAGCACTAGCACCAGCACTAGCAGCACCAGCACCAGCACCAGCCGAAGCATCTAGACTCGTTTCCGGGTCAGAATCTGTTGATAAGTCCATAGATGTGCCTCCCCCAGTCAACCCCTGCCCCGCACTGCTGGTATCCGCACTGTTCATTTCTGTACTCGAGTCAACCTGTAGCTCTACAGGCTCGTCTATGGCTTCCTCTAACAGGTCAGCCAATAACGGATCCATGGAACCGCTCTCCGGCACATGAGCCTTGCTGTTCACATTCAGACCACTACTTCTGTTACCATTACTGTTACTGTTACCAATACTGTTACCGTTACCGTTGCCTGTATTTCCAGTGCCCCAGCTGCCCATTCTGCTCCCGTTTTTCCTTAAGAACCCTTCCGGATTGCCTGCTGCTGCTCCTGCTGCTGCTCCTCCTCTCGCTCCTCCTCCTGTTCCTGCCGCTGCCTCTCCCATCCTGCTACGTGCACCATTTCCCTTAGCCGCTGAGACCATCACGTTCATAGCGGCAGAAACTCCTCCCCCCTGTCCTGACCCTACCACACCTTTCCCCACCTCGCTCAAATCCTCCGCACCGAGGCCCAATCCGGTACCCGAATTCATCACGTTCGGATTGCTACCCAGCAATTCCTGGACCAAGGAGTCGAAAGTTACTTCTTCCAAGCCTGCCGCCAAGCCTGGCGCCAAACCTGGCACCAAGCCTGGTGGCGAGCCTGAAGCTCCTGAACCCTGCCGAGCTTTGTCCCGAGCCTCGACGCCAGACACGGCAGTGCCCACAGACTCCGACGGAGACGATCCCCCATTCCTTCCACCCATCCCGAGCCTGTTCCCCAACCTAGCACGAGGATCCGAACCTGCCTGTCCGGCAGGCCTGGAACTCGAGCGCTGGTGCGATCCCCTCGAGCCTACAAGACCTGAAAGACTCGCTTGACCTGCAGAATTCCCGGCACCTGCGGCACCAGCCGAGCCGCCTTGGGAATTCCGCGGACTTCCCTGGCCACCGCCGGGGCTGTAGGTTCGTTTCCAGAGCTGCTGCAGGGACTGCGCGAGGTTCCCACCCGCGCGGGAGGGCCTTTCGGGGGAGCGCGTCCGCTTCGGTCGGATGGTGGAGGGGGAAATTCCGTCCGCCGCCGTCGGTGTTCCCGCTGGTTCACGAGGAGAAAGGAACAGTAATAAGAAAGAAAGGAAGGAAGAAAGAAAGACAGATAAATATAAAAGGAAAGATAGAAAGAAAGAAAGAAAGAACGGAAGGAAGGAAGGAAGGAAGGAAGGAAGAAAGAAGGAAAGAATCTAAAGTGAAACAAGAAACGTATAAATGAGAGAAAAAGGAGAGTACCGCTATGCTGATGCCACTTGTGAGAATTAAGATCACAGGAGCGAAAATTGGCCACACACATCATCACACGTGTCTTGACCGATCGAAATGCGGGAACCGGTCAAGCGGTCGGAAATTGGCCACACACATCATCACAAGTGCGAGGATTCTATACCTATATGAAAGTCGTATGAAATTTTATCCAATCTTAAGAGTGATAACTAAAATAGGGATATACCTAGCGGTCGTCGAAGCGAAGCAGCATCAGGAATCTGGGATTGGAGCCATGCCTTCTGAAGCCGCGACTCCAGGTCCGTGGGTAGGTCAGCGCGGGATTTCGCGAGAGTGGGACCGACGACATGTGGATGGCTGCTGCCGTTAACCGTCGCAAGAACTACTTTCTTCTTCTGCTGCGCCGGCTGCTCCATGATTATTCTCGACTAAACGCGAATTCGGAGGACCGAAAGCAAAGATATTGCAATTTTCACACAAAGCATAGTATCCAGGTGTATCGTTCCTGAAGCACGAGTTAGAAGCTAGGGGTGGCGTAGTGGTAAATGGGATAATGGACATTTGCCCTAGACATACACCAGGGTTGGTTAGTGATGGGAAGGCTTTCAAGGTTGTGTTCGTCAAACGGGTGGGTGTCGTACTCTCGGAGGCACTCGGGTTTAACACCTGTTTCGTTCCGAGAGTTCACTATCTGTTCTGTACGCGCGGTTGAGTGGAATGATGAACGCTCCAGAGGCGTAGTCGCTTTCCACTTTGAACCGCAACGCACCAGCCTGAACATTTATGTACATGAACTGGAATCGAACTCTCAGGAACTACTCCCATTTTCGGGACCCTTAGGCTCTTTGTTTCATCGCAAATCCAGTGAACCTATTTACCGACCACGGTGTGCGAGATTGTTGGCACTGAATCTCTGCGACGTCGACGATTCGTGCATTCGGATCGGATGCAGCCGAGAGCAGGTATTTAATCGGTTCACACGTGTGTCAGCATCTGAACTTTCCAGATTTTAAAGCTTTCGTATACATTTGAAAAAGGGAGGTTCAAAAGTTTTGAAATTTGAAATATTGGTAACCCAGAAACAGCTAGTTTCACTCGCTTCACAAGGGAGGTGATCTCCCCGTCACCCAGGGCTCACTGGTGATTCAAAACTTTTGGAATAACAAAAGTATACGAAATCCAGTCCATGTGAGATCTACGCCACTACGCTCAACAGGCAGCATAAATCGTAGCAAAGCACATCGCGACAACAGCCAGCGCAAATCACTCCCGTTTCCGACACAAACTTAGACGCGTGGGGCAGTTTAGTGTAATTACACGTCCGAGCCAACGTCAGTTCCGCCCTCTAACACGGCGAGCCCGCCGGACCCCTTCTCACAGCCTCGCCTCGTCGTCCGTCGCGTTGCCTCACCACGCGGCCTCCTCACGCCACCATGAACGCGCACGCTGCGTCTCAAACTGCCGAACACGCACGATCACAGTCGCTTCCCGATCGCGCGACCTCGCTACCACGTTTCCGCAGTAGCGGCGGCAGCCGCAATTGAGGTGTCGCGAGGGTAATCAGAAACGATTGCTCCCCATTACCTCTTCCCGCCTCCCCGTTTCCCCTTCCCGCCTCCCCAATTCCCCTTCCCGACACCCCATTTCCTCTTCCCGCTCCCCATTACCCCTTCGCGCCTCCTCGTTTCCCCTTCCCGCTCCCCATTACCCCTTCCTGCCTCTGCAATTCCCCTTCCCGCCACCCCATTTCCTCTTCTCGCTCCCCATTATCCCTTCCCGCCTCCTCGTTTCCCCTTCCCGCTCCCCATTACCCTTTCCCGCCTCCCCAATTCCCCTTCCCGCTCCCCATTACCCCTTCCCGCCTCCCCAATTCCCCTTCCCGCTCCCCATTACCCCTTCTCGCCTCCCCAATTCCCCTTCCCGCTCCCCACTACCCCTTCCCTCCTCCCCGTGACCCCTTCCCGCTTCCCCATTACCCCTTCCCACTCCCCATTTCCCCTTCCCGCCTCCCCAATTCCCCTTCCCGCCTCCCCGCTTCCCCTTCCCACTCCCGATTATCCCTTCTCGCCTCCCTTCTCAAACTGCCGAACACACATCACAGTCGCCGCCCGATCGCACAGCCTCGCTACCACGTTTCCGCACTAGCCGCGGCAGCCGCACTCTCATTTCCCCCCTTGCAGACTCTCATTTTCCCCCTTGCTCACTCTCATTTCCCCCCCATGCTCTCCCTCATTCCTCCCCCCTTCTCCCTCTCATTCCCCCCATGAAGCCCCTCATCCCCCCCTTTCTCCCTCTCATCTCCCCCCCTGCTCCCTGTCATGTCCCCACCTTCTCTCTCTCATGTCACCCCCTTCTCCCGCTCATTCCCCCCCATTCTCCCTCTCATTTCTTCCCCTTCCCCCTCTTATATCTCCCCCTACTCCCTCTCATTCCCCCCATGAAGCCCCTCATTCCCCCCCTTTCTCCCTCTCATCCTCCCCCCTGCTCACTGTTATGTCCCCCCTTCTCTCGCTCATGTACCCCCCTTCTTCCTCTCATTTCCCCCCCTTATCCCTCTCATTCTCCCCCCTGCTCCTTCTCATTCCCCCCTTAACCACTCAGTTAAATGCCACATAACCTCCCTCTCATTTCCCCGCATTCCCCCCCCCTTCCCCCTCTCGTTTCCCCCCATCTCCCTCTCCTTTCCCCACGTGCTCCTTCTCATTCCCCCCCCCTTCTCCATCTCGTTTCCCCCCCGCTCATTTCCCCCCATCTCCTTTCATTTTCCCCCCTTCTCCCTCTCATATGCTTCTAACCCCTACCGTACCCTTGGATGATCGCATGCCATACTCATCCATCCGCTGCCATACACCGCCACACCCTTCCATCTCCTCCCATACCCTTCCATACGCCAGCCAAGCCCGTCCCTCATTCTGCCATACCTTGCCATACTCTGCCATACCTTTCCTTCCCTAGCGTAAGTGTACCATTCCCTTCCATACCCCAGCCATACCCATCCATCCCCTGTCATACCCTTCCATTCCCTTCCATACCCTTCCATACCTTCCATTCCCTTCCATACCCTTCCATTCCCTTCCATACCCTTCCATTCCCTTCCATACCCTTCCATTCCCTTCCATACCCTTCCATACCTACCATTCCCTTCCATACCCCAGCCATACCCTTCCATACCCTTCCATTCCCTTCCATACACTTCCATTCCCTTCCATACACTTCCATTCCCTGCCATTCCCTTCCATTCCCTGCATTCGTGCACAGGCATATGACTAGTCACGTGATTGGTATCGAAGAATCCAGGGTTGGGTGATAAAGGTTATGTATATAGTGATACAATTGTAAGGACTTTTTTTATAAAACATGTTGTGAGGCTACGAGCTTGATTTTGGTCCTGAAGTGCCAAAAATGTACTAGAGTTGGGAGTGTATGCATGCTTCTTGAATCACAAGTGCATAGTAATAAATACGCAGGGAGCTGCCGCACAAGTTGGCGGCTGCTGTTGTATGCCTGGCGTTGGTGTGCAGCAGAGGGGAGCGATGCATTGTGTGCTGCTTGGTGGACCTGCCGGTGAGAGGAGTGGGGGGGGTCAGGGCTGAGAAAGGGACGAGGAAGGGGAAAAAGAAGGCACATATCAGGGTGAGCTCAACCAAAGCCTGGAGAGAGTGCCCTTAGTCATCCAAGTGGCGTGAAAACGGTTGTCTAGGCAAGTCCCAAGGCATGCGATGGGACGCGCACAGTACCTGAGAGGCGTGAACGATGGGACAAAACTTGAGATGAGTCGAGCTCGCTTGCACGCACCATCTGCCGCAACAGCCTCGCTACCTCCTCCTTCTCCCTCTCCCTCCGCCTCGCTTCCTCATCGAGCCTCACACCCTGCTCGCTCCCCAGTCCACTGCTGACATGGCTGCTTCGATAGTGTGCACCCAGCGTGAGAGACCCGGCATGCTGCATCTCCTGCGGCTTGCGCACTCATGAGCGCGCTCGGCTGTGAGACCGCAGCAGGGTCCACTCGCTCTTGGTTCTGCTGTTGCTGCCCATGCACCTGCCGCTGTTCTTGCAAGATCATCCCAGCTCCAACTCCTCGTGGGAGCTGCTGCTACATTTGCTCCACAAATGCTAGGTCCAGTAGGAGCTCAATCCGCAGGAGCAGAAGTATGGACAGAACCGGGGCAGTTGCAGAGTCACACGGGTTGGGGCCAACAGCCGGCGTCGGCAGTCCATAGTCAAAGGAGTGGGGCGAACAATCCTCCCCACTGGCTGCTCCTCGCCTCATGTCTCCTCCTCCTCCACCATGCCTTCCCCTCCTTTCCTGAGCTACCTCCTGCTCCGGGGGGAACACCAAAGGAAGGAACACTGGGTGTGGCAGCAGAGGCAGCTCCGGCAAAGGCAGCAGCGGCGGCAGTATGGGCAGGGACTGAAGGAGCGAGTGGGATCTCATGGGAGGTGAGATGACCCTGGAAGGAGGGGGGATGAGAAATTAAGGCATGGCGATGGGAGAGCGTGGAAGGGAGAATGGAAGGGAGCGAGTGGGGGGCAGTATTTTGCAAGGGATCCACCCTGTAAGGGAGGGAAGATGAAAAGGACGGGAGGGCAGTGGGGCTATGCCAGAGCTGGGAGGGAAATGAAGGGGAGCAAGGTGGGAAAAATAAGGGGAGAAGGGGGGGAAATGACGGGGAGCAAGGTGGGGAAAATAAGGGTTTAGGTTGGGAAATGAAGGGGTGAAGGAGGGAAATGAGAGGGAAGCGGGGAAGCGAGAGTGAGCAAGGGTGGAAGTGAGAGGCGGCAAGGGGGGAAATGAGAGGGAGGAGGGGGAGAGATGAGAGGAGCAAGGGGGGAAATGAGAGGGAGAGGGGGAGAGATGAGAGGAGCAAGGGGGGAAATGAGAGGGAGGAGGGGGAGAGATGAGAGGAGCAAGGGGGGAAATGAGAGGGAGGAGGGGGAGAGATGAGAGGAGCAAGGGGGGAAATGAGAGGGAGGAGGGGGAGAGATGAGAGGAGCAAGGGGGGAAATGAGAGGGAGGAGGAGGGGAAATGAAGGGGAGCAGTGGGGGAAGTGAGAAGGAGCAGGAGGGGAAATGAAGGGGAGCAGTGGGGGAAGTGAGAAGGAGAAGGAGGGGAAATGAAGGGGAGCAGTGGGGGAAGTGAGAAGGAGCAGGAGGGGAAATGAGGGGGAGCAGTGGGGGAAGTGAGAAGGAGCAGGAGGGGAAATGAGGGGGAGCAGTGGGGGAAGTGAGAAGGAGCAGGAGGGGAAATGAAGGGGAGCAGTGGGGGAAGTGAGAAGGAGCAGGAGGGGAAATGAGGGGGAGCAGTGGGGGAAGTGAGAAGGAGCAGGAGGGGAAATGAGGGGGAGCAGTGGGGGAAGTGAGAAGGAGCAGGAGGGGAAATGAAGGGGAGCAGTGGGGGAAGTGAGAAGGAGCAGGAGGGGAAATGAGGGGGAGCAGTGGGGGAAGTGAGAAGGAGAAGGAGGGGAAATGAAGGGGAGCAGTGGGGGAAGTGAGAAGGAGCAGGAGGGGAAATGAGGGGGAGCAGTGGGGGAAGTGAGAAGGAGCAGGAGGGGAAATGAGGGGGAGCAGTGGGGGAAGTGAGAGGGAGAAGGGGGGGAAATGAAGGGGAGCAGTGGGGGAAGTGAGAAGGAGCAGGAGGGGAAATGAGGGGGAGCAGTGGGGGAAGTGAGAAGGAGCAGGAGGGGAAATGAGGGGGAGCAGTGGGGGAAGTGAGAGGGAGAAGGGGGGGAAATGAGGGCGAGAAGGGGGGGGGGGTTGAGGGAGAAAAGGGGGGGAATGAGGGGGAAGAATGGGGGGAATGAGGAGGAGAAGGCTGGGAAATGAGGGGAAGAATGGGGGGAATGAGGGGGAGAAGGGTTAGAACTGAGAGGGAGAAGGGGGGAAAATGAGGGAGAGAAGGGGGGAAAATGAGGGAGAGAAGGGGGGAAAAATAGGGGGAGAAGGGGGGGAAATGAGGGGGAGAAGGGAGGCAAGTGGAGAGGGAGTAGGGGGGGTTGTGAGGGGGAGAAGGGGGGAGGGGGGGTAATTAGAAGAGGATGCGCTTAGCGGGAGAGGCGCTATGCGGGCGCTAAGCGGGAAAGGCGCGCAGCGGGTGCGGCGCTAAGCGGGAGAGGGTGAGGCGACACGCGGGAAAGGCGCACAGGGGGTGAGGCGCGAAATGAGAGAGGCGCGCAGCGAGTGATTCGTTGCGCGGGAGAGGCGCGCAGCGGTTGCGGAGCTAAGCGGGAGAGGCGCGCAGCGGGTCAGGCGCTAAGCGGGAAAGGCGCGCGGCGAGTGATACGCTAAGCGGCATGGCGCGCAGAGGGTGAGGCGCTAAGCGGGAGAGCTCCCAGCATTGGAGGCGGTAAGCGGGAGACCCGCGCAGTGGGTGAGGCGCTAAGCGGGAAATGCCTACCGAGCGGGTGTTGAGAGTGGCGGCGTGGCCAACGCATGGAACGATGCGATCCCGCCGTCGGCTCCGTAATTTTCAATCGGCTTACTCGATCGCACCTACCCAGCGTGGTGATGCAACCCGTCGAGGCGCCCTTGACAGGGCTTCGACGGGGCCCATCAATGCAGCACGACGCGCTCGACGAATGCAGAGCCTTTCCCTCTCCGATTGCCGCTGAACGGCGCAGCAGTGGAAAGGAGCTGGCGTGCAAGCTAGATGTATTTTCCCACTCGCACAAGCCTATAATGTTACCTAAACTCATCTCACATGAGAATATCTGAGCGGTGTCGATGCTCCGCATGTTCTTTGTCGCGCCCCGGTTCCTCTATCTATGCTTAGCGTATGTTAGTCACATATCATGGTTCCTAGTGAAATCTGACTCCAAGGTTGGGTGACGGGGGAGTTTCCTGTGTTTGGAACTCCTCAAAGCTGCAATTTTTCGCCAAACCTCTCGCCACGCTCAGTTGTTTCGTTCTGGCGAATTTTTCCCTGGCTACAGTGCAAGTCCAAACAGTACTTGCAAATGTATACGAAAGCTTTAAGTGCAGCTTCGACGATACCGCAAAGCCTCCAGTTTTGCTTTGAACTTACAGTTTGCGTGTTTCCGTTAAGTTTATTGAATACTCTGTAAGATTCGCAGCACTCACTATCGAGTACGGATGTACTCACTATCGAGGGTCACTCACGCACTTGTCCCTCCACGTGGTTCCTACACGATCGGAGAACAGTAAGGTAGTGTTTAGCAACCAGTAACGTTTCACCATCTCAACCTCGAACAACCGTTCGATAAGCCTACGTGGCGAGCTATGGCCCCAGTCCCCAGTGCTCCCCTCCCCCCCACCGTCCCTCCCTTGAATGCTGCGCCGCAAAGCACAAGCAAAGTTCCACACCACACCACACGCCGACTGAAGTTCCCAAGGCTTGTCCACAATATACAACCGCGCTGAAACCTTTTAGAAACGCAGTAAGCCGAACCGTTTGGCTATGAAACGCACTGCACCGCGAACATAGATTCTTCCTTGTTCCTCCAAACCAAACACCGCAGCACGCGGAAAGTAATATCAAGCGCGTGCCAGTTCCGAAGTTTGGGGATCTCTCTCGAGAATTCCAAGGTGCGAGGGAAACTATTTAGTTCTGTCTGTCCACCTTTTCAACCGACAGTCACGGGATCTCGGCTTGTGGATTTGTCCGAGAGAGTTGCCAATCCTTCCGCAAGTTCCGCGCTTGGTACGCGTTGTTGTAGACTAGTCTACGTAAAAAGGATACAGTACTAGTGACTGAAGCGAGGCGCTCTACTTCGAATCAGAACGCAGCAGCAGATTTTAGTGATTGAAACGAGGCGCTGTTTCGGCGATCTCCCCAGCCGTCTCTCTGCTCGCAACCACTTCATACCACCATTAGGACACTCCTGCGAGTTCTTGTATGCGTCGTTTGTGAAATCCGCATTCTCCTTTAACTGAAACTGGTGTAAAGAAATAGGTTACAATAGGTCAGGCGTTTATTGTGCTACAAGCTTCGTACATAATTACTGCAGCGCCTTCTCCGCGCCGTTATCAGGCGGTCCCCGATTTTAGGTTACCAAGAGTGTCATCTTGAGAACCTGCAGACCCGATACGTGGAGTCTCCGAGCTGCTAGCTGGTGGTGACTGATACAGCTAGGAAGTCTGCCTCTGACATCCCAACGAGTATTCCGGGAATACGTCATTCCAGCGAACCAGATATATCAACATTGCCACATTTAACTATCGCTTAGCGAATCAGCAAGTTGCGGGTCTAGACACCCTAACCAGTAGTATATACGTATGACGAGGATGAGCGGCGGTGGGCAGCAGCGCGTGCAGGCGCCGCGCAGGATAGGCGAGTACGAGGTGGGAGGTACTCTTGGCGAAGGGACGTTCGCGAAGGTGAAATACGCGGTGCACGCGACGACGGGCGAACCCGTGGCGATGAAAGTGCTGGATAAGGAGAAGATTATCCGCCATAAAATGGTGGACCAGGTAGGCTGTCAGGGCTGTCGGGGTTGAGAGGGTTGTGAGGGTTGTGAGGGTGGTGAGGGTTGTGAGGGTTGTGAGGGTGGTGAGGGTTGTGAGGGTTGTGAGGGTTGTGAGGGTTGTGAGGGAATGTTGACTGTGCACAGATGGAGTCCTTTTCTGGGGCGACTAATAAATGTATTTCTGGTTTGCTGACACCATTGTCCCTTCTCGGCTGACCTGGTGTCTCTGTGTCTCTGTGTGTGCAGATTAAGCGAGAGATTTCGGTGATGAAGCTCGTCAGGCACCCTAATGTGGTGCGGCTGTATGAGGTGAGGGACTGGGAAGAGCAAGGTGATGTTATTTTCTTTTCACAACCTACTCATCCGCCATCTGGTTCTGGCTAAAGAAATGGCAACAGAAATTTCTGAAAGTTGAGCTCACCTGCTCTCCTCCCACAGCCCCCTTCCCCCATTCCCCCCGCCCTCCCTTTTCCCCCCTTTTCAGGTCTCGCATCTCGCACCAAAATCTACATCGTCCTCGAATTTCCCACAGAAGTCGAGCCCTAAAACACGTTTCCCCCTTTCTCCTTCTCCCCCCCCTCCTCCCCCACCCCCCCCCCCCCCCCACCCCCCCCCCGCACCTCCTAATCACCTTCCCACCCCCTTTCAGGTTCTTGCATCTCGCACCAAGATCTACATCATTCTTGAATTCGTCACCGGGGGCGAGCTCTTTGACGAGGCAATCATTGAGGCTCATTGAGGCTCCTCCAACCCCCGCCCTCCCCCTCCCAACCCTTTCCCTCCCCTTTCAGGTTCTTGCATCTCGCACCAAGATCTACATCATTCTTGAATTCGTCACCGGGGGCGAGCTCTTTGACGAGGCAATCATTGAGGCTCATTGAGGCTCCTCCAACCCCCGCCCTCCCCCTCCCAACCCTTTCCCTCCCCTTTCAGGTTCTTGCATCTCGCACCAAGATCTACATCATTCTTGAATTCGTCACCGGGGGCGAGCTCTTTGACGAGGCAATCATTGAGGCTCATTGAGGCTCCTCCAACCCCCGCCCTCCCCCTCCCAACCCTTTCCCTCCCCTTTCAGGTTCTTGCATCTCGCACCAAGATCTACATCATTCTTGAATTCGTCACCGGGGGCGAGCTCTTTGACGAGGCAATCATTGAGGCTCATTGAGGCTCCTCCAACCCCCGCCCTCCCCCTCCCAACCCTTTCCCTCCCCTTTCAGGTTCTTGCATCTCGCACCAAGATCTACATCATTCTTGAATTCGTCACCGGGGGCGAGCTCTTTGACGAGGCAATCATTGAGGCTCATTGAGGCTCCTCCAACCCCCGCCCTCCCCCTCCCAACCCTTTCCCTCCCCTTTCAGGTTCTTGCATCTCGCACCAAGATCTACATCATTCTTGAATTCGTCACCGGGGGCGAGCTCTTTGACGAGGCAATCATTGAGGCTCATTGAGGCTCCTCCAACCCCCGCCCTCCCCCTCCCAACCCTTTCCCTCCCCTTTCAGGTTCTTGCATCTCGCACCAAGATCTACATCATTCTTGAATTCGTCACCGGGGGCGAGCTCTTTGACGAGGCAATCATTGAGGCTCATTGAGGCTCCTCCAACCCCCGCCCTCCCCCTCCCAACCCTTTCCCTCCCCTTTCAGGTTCTTGCATCTCGCACCAAGATCTACATCATTCTTGAATTCGTCACCGGGGGCGAGCTCTTTGACGAGGCAATCATTGAGGCTCATTGAGGCTCCTCCAACCCCCGCCCTCCCCCTCCCAACCCTTTCCCTCCCCTTTCAGGTTCTTGCATCTCGCACCAAGATCTACATCATTCTTGAATTCGTCACCGGGGGCGAGCTCTTTGACGAGGCAATCATTGAGGCTCATTGAGGCTCCTCCAACCCCCGCCCTCCCCCTCCCAACCCTTTCCCTCCCCTTTCAGGTTCTTGCATCTCGCACCAAGATCTACATCATTCTTGAATTCGTCACCGGGGGCGAGCTCTTTGACGAGGCAATCATTGAGGCTCATTGAGGCTCCTCCAACCCCCGCCCTCCCCCTCCCAACCCTTTCCCTCCCCTTTCAGGTTCTTGCATCTCGCACCAAGATCTACATCATTCTTGAATTCGTCACCGGAGGCGAGCTTTTTGACAGAATTGTGAGTGCAGCCAAGCCACTGCACTGTCTTTTTGTTAATGAGAGTGAGATTGGATTGGATAGCACAACGAGGGGAACGGTATGCTGTTGGCTTGGCTTGGCTATCCAACAAAGCATACCGTTGGGTTATTGCTGTATTTCGGATGAGCCCGAGTCGTTATTTGATGAGGTTCGCGAGTTCTGTTTAAGAAGGCAACTCGTTTTGAGTGTTGTGACGTCCCTGATGCGATAGTCGTTAGTCTACCTCCTCCTGTCAATTCGCTACTTCCGGGTCTTCATCTCGCCTTAATAAACTTCATTCCCGTTGAGCTCTGGTGAACAAGGGAGGCTGGAGGAGGAGTTGATGTTTCAGTCATTCCAAAATGATTCCAAAATGATTCCGGCTGAAAAAGTTGCTTCCTTGTCTCAAAACTCTTCCTCACTCACTTGCTGTGCGCGCAGGTGAACAAGGGTCGGCTGGAAGAGGACGAGGCACGGCGGTATTTTCAGCAGCTGATGGACGCTATGGAGTATTGCCACAGCAAAGGCGTGGCACACCGAGACCTCAAGGTGAAACCACATCTACTGTTAGAACTGAGAATTGCAGATTCAAACCTTTTCTCTCTTGCTTCACAACCTCATTCGTACGGCCCAATTTAACCCACACTCCAAACCATTCTCAACCGATATCTGATCCCTACCTGTCTGCCAGCCGGAGAATCTTCTGCTGGATTCCAAGGATAATATCAAGATCTCGGATTTCGGCCTCAGTGCACTGCCGCAACAAGTCAGGGTGAGTTTCCTGCTTCTGCAAGTCAGGGTTGCTATGTTGTTGCAGACGTTTTTTGTTTTGTTTTTTTGCTGAAATTCTATAGGTTCCTCCCTGAACTATCCTGCCTTTTTTTCTTGATTAACCAGGTAGAGTGGTATGAGAGTTCACTCTCAGAACAGCTTCAGTCTAATCTTGTCGACTCAGAATGGATTCAGACTTTCTGAAATCGCTGTGGCTCTGAAAAGGCACCTCCAACGTGCCTCCCGTGTCTCAGCATTCCTTCCTGCTGTTTTTATTTATTTCTCGGTTTCCTTGCGTTTTTCTCTGCAGGCGGACGGCTTGCTCCACACCACGTGCGGCACGCCCAACTACGTTGCTCCAGAGGTAGGAGGGGATTTTAGGCTTTGGCCGGTAACTTCACTGCTTGTACTTTGAGTTTGCGTGGATCCTGAGGTTTGAGGCCTGTGTTTTTTGAGAATTCTCAAAAAACACTCACTGCTTGTACTTTGAGTTTGCGTGGATCCTGAGGTTTGAGGCCTGTGACTTCATGCCTGTGGCCTTACGCATGTGGCTTCACGCCCTCCTCTTTCCCCATCCCGTCCCGGCGCCCACCCTGAAATCTCCCTTCCCTCGCGCTCACACACGCAAGTGCTGAGTAACAGACTGTACAACGGGGCTTGAGCAGACATCTGGTCATGTGTAGTCCTTCTTTACGTCCTCTATGCCCTTTCCACCAACCCCCTCCCCCATCTCGAACACACACACACATGGAAACACACTCAGGTGCTGAGTGACAGAGGGTACAACAGGGTCCTCGCGGATATCTGGTCGTGTGGGGTCATTCTCTCTCCCCTACCCTCCCCTCCCCTCCCCTCCCATCCCATCCCCTCCCATCCCTCGCACACACACACACAAACACACGCAGGTGCTGAGTGACAGGGGGTACAACGGAGTCCTCGCAGACATCTGGTCGTGCGGGGTCATTCTCTACGTCTCCATAGACTGTTCTCCACTCCACTCCCTCTTTCTCCTCCCTTCCCCCTTTTTCTTTCCCCCCCAACACCCACACACCCACAGGTGCTGAGCGACAGAGGGTACAACGGGGTCCTGGCGGACATATGGTCGTGCGGAGTCATTCTCTACGTCCTCCTTGCTGGTTTTCTCCCGTTCGACGAGCCTGACGTTCCTTCGCTCTACAGAAAGGTACACTTCTCTCCCTGCCCCATGCTATGCTGAGCCGAGGTGACATCCCATCCCATCCACTTTCAGAATTATTTTCTTGTTCGGAGACCTGATTTTGGATTTGCCTCTCGTCTCCTCCCCCCGCCCATCCGCCCCCCTCACAGATCCCAAGATATGATTTCGGGTTTCCTGCGTGGCTCTCAGCTGGATTGATGGGTCTGCAATGAGTCGTTCCTAATCCCTTTGATAGCATGACAGCCCCGACCCACCCCGCCCCTGCCTTTCCTTTCATGATTTCCTTTTCTGACAGATTCAAAGATCGGATTTCGGGTTCCCCACGTGGTTCTCCGCTGGAGCAAAGAGATTAATTACGGGTATTCTACAACCAAACCCGAAGCTGGTGAGTTGCTACGCCACGTACGTCTAGCTACTGGCAGAACAGTGGAATTGTAAGGCACCTTGTGTTGTAGCATGCAGTGCACACAAATGTACACATGAATGCATGCAATGTCCCCATTCCCGCGCTTAATCTCGCCCTACCTCTCTTTCTTCCTTCTTCCCAACCCCACCCGACGTGTGCAGAGGTACCGGTATCAGGAGATACGGAAAGATGCGTGGTTCTGCACCAACTATGTGCCGGTGCCTGTTCCTAAAGAAAATGTCGACAATGATATGAACGATGTTGATGCTGCATTTGGTGCCACCGGTGCTGGTGCTGTTGCTGCTGGTTCTGGTTCTGGTGCTGCTGCTCGTAACGCTGCTGCTTCTGGTGCTGCCAGTGCTGCCGCCAGCAGTGCTAGCAGTGGTGGCAGTACCGTTGCTGCTACTGAGAATGCGATTGGGAATGTCAAGAACAGTGCTGAAAATGGTGGTGCCTGTGCTGGTGCTACATGTGCGGAACAGCATCAGCAACATCATCACCATCATCATCATCAGCAGCAGCAGCAGCAGCAGCAGCAGCAGCAGCACCAGCAGCAGCAGCAGCAGCAAGAGCAGAGGGGATCAGGGGGGGCTGGGGATTCAAAGGAGGCACACAGAGGAGGGTTGTCATATCAGCTGGGTGGATTGCCTCTAAAGCTCCCACACAACAAGAGTGGAAGAGGAGGGGAGCACGCGCTATCTATCAGTACAAAGAAAGGCACAAATAGCACCAACGGAAGCAGCGGAAACAGCGACACCAGCAGCAGCAGCAGCAGCAGCGTTAGTACTACTGCTCTTGTTAGCCCCAGCGGGAGTGGGAGCAAGGGCAGCAGCAGCAGTCCGACAATAATCCATGGGTTTTCACTCAGCAGCACCAGCGACTCGTGCCACAATCCCGGTTGTAGCGGGGGTACCCAGTCATGCTACAAACCCAGCTGTAGCGAGGATATCCCTTCATGCAACAACCAGAGTTGTAGCCAGAGAGATAGTGTATGTTGCTGCTCCAAGTGTGCTCACAGCATGGGTGTGTGCTACAACTCCGGCTGTAGCAAGAACGCCAGTGTGTGTCAGGGTGCAACTGCGTGCCATTACCCCGGTTGTAGCGAGGATTTTCCCTGTAGCGAGAATGTGCCTTGTAGCATGGTATGTGAGGAAGTGCATGCGGACAGGCACCTTCTAGCAGCAGGCGTGAGAGGGGTAACGAGTGGGACTGTAAGGGGTATGAGGGGCAGCAGAGGAGGGGTTGGTGGGACTATAGAGGAAGGGGAGGCGGAAGGGGAGGATAGTGGGGATGACAGTGGGGGGGAAGCGGGAGGAGGGGGAGGAAGAGGGGGAATGGGAGGGGATTGGGGAGAGGGGAGAGGTGGGGAGAGTGGAGAGAGCGGGGAAGGGCGAAGAGGAGGAGAGAGGGAGGATGGGGGATGGGGGAATAGTGCGAGGCCAAAGACGTTGAACGCTTTTGCTCTACTGAATCTGGCTCAGGGGTTCGACCTTGGGGGATTGTTTAACAGCCCAGCCCTCCTTGGTGGGAAACGGGAAGGTCAGAGGCCTGGGGGGAATGGGGAAGGAGGAGAGGGAGGAGGAGGAGGAGTGGGAGGAGATGTAAGTGCAGCAGGCGAATCGAGAGTGGGGGAAAGGATGGAGGAGGAGGGATGGCGTTATAAGCACACTCGGTTCTTGTCACATGCATCAGTGGGGCGACTGGTTGGGAGAGTGGAAGCAGCAGCTGAGGAGCTGGGCTGGCATGTGGAGAGGGAGGGATTCAAGGTGGGTGACAAATAAGCTGTTTGTTTATGGATTAATTTTGAGAGAGTGGAGGCAGCAGCTGGGGAGCTGGGCTGGCATGTGGAGAGAGAGGGATTCAAGGTGGGTTCTTGAGACGTCTCAATAGTCAGCAGTTAGCGAGCTGGGCTGGCATGTTAAGAGAGAGGGATTCAAGGTGGGTGGGTGGCGAAGGAGGTTGAACGCGATCTCTGTTTGCCCCCGTTTCCTCATCGTCTTGGCAAAAAGAAGGCAACAGAACACTGCAAAATAATCGTTTCCGCATTTTTTTCCGTTACCGCCCCTCCTAAAGATTCTTTCCCGATCCGTGCTCATCTGTGTGATCCCTCCTTGCCGTGTATCCCCTATCTACTCTTGCCTTATTGGACAGTATCGAATTGAGTTGAGACATGCAGCATTGGCAACACCAGCAGAAGCGGCACCAGCAGTAGCAGCAGCAGTAGGCTCACCGCCTACTACTGAGGCACTCACTCTGCCTGTAGCAGCTACGGCAAGAGCAGCAGATGCGGCACCAGCGGCGGCAGCAACACCAGCAGTAGCAGCAGCAGTAACCACACCAACGACCACTGAAGCAATCCCGCTACCAGTAGCTGCGCCAGCAGAAGTTATTAGAGCAGCAGATGCAGCCACACTCTCAGTGGCAGCAGAAACCGCAGAAACCGCAGAAACTGCTGTAGCAAGAGGCACAGCAGAAGCATCTGAAGCCACAGACGAACTAGGTGCAGCAGCAGAAGCTGCTTCTCCTGCTCAGGCCTATACTGGTTCTCCTGCTGTTGCTGGTGACGTGGAGCTCTCAGCTGCTGTGGCCAGGCTCACTGTCGTTGCAGCTATAGCTTTGGAGGTAAGGGAAAAAAAGTGGCAGCACGATTGGGATTGCATGAAACTCAGTCTTTCCAGCTGTCAGAGGTACGGCTTCCACGTTTGTGGGTTGGGATAGCCAGGCTGTTGGAGCACCAAGACTGTGTTACGGCACTTATTGTGGGTAATATTATAGTCGCGTTTTAAAAGTTGTGTTTTGAGACGTCTCAAAACACAACTTTCATCACGTAGCAAGCACCACGACTGTGTTACGACGACACTTGTTGTTGTTACTTTCATAGTCTCCTCAATATATTGCGGTGTAGCATCCATGATTGTCTGTCCCGGCTTGACTTTTTAAGGAAAATGTGTGAATGTCTGTGGGTCTCTGCGTGTGTGCGTGTGTGCGAGTATGTGTGTATGTGTGTACGTGTGTATGTGGCTGAATGCACATGTGTGTGTATTTCTCTGTACTTGCATGCATGTCTGTGCATTCTCCACTCCCCGAAACAGGTCTTTGCCATTCTCCCCGGTCTACTGATGGTGGAAATGCGGCACGAGAAGGGCGGGACACAGGAGGCCATGCAGGTGCGTGTATTTGTACACATGGGCATTCATGCATGTGTGCCCATGCACACATTTGCACACCCTGATTATGCTCTCTTCTGTGACTATGGTGCACGCTCATATGCGTGCTATGGAGCGTTGCAAGCCATTGAATCCCATCCATTACATTCCCAACCCACTCCCGCATCCCACCCCACCCCATCCCCCGCCACTACCCAGATGCGCCAGGCACTACGCGCCAAGCTTCAAGACCTAGTCACAGCCCCACACGCCCCAAACATGCCAACCAATAAGGGCACAGCCAGGGGCGGTATCAGCAGCACCAGTGGTTCCAGCAGCAATGGCAAGGGCACGGTGCCGAAGGGAACTAGACCACGCCAGCTTGTGAGTTCTATACGGCACTGTGAGTGCTGCAGCTTTATGCCTTGTAATTTGGTGGTAATGCACTATATCTAACTTAGTGATTATGCGCTATATCTAACTTAGTGATTATGCGCTATATCTAACTTGGTGTTGTATGTCGTATAAGCCTTGCAATCAAGTGCCCTCTTCCCTACCTGTACCACAATCCTGCGTCTATTTCTGAGGTGCCTATTTCTAAGGGATACTTATGAGGCGTTTCTTTCTAAAGGCGTCTAAATAACTCCCTCTACATCCCTCCCCGTTTCTTCCTTGCCCTGGTTCTCTCTCTCCCCTCCAGGCTGCTTATCCTCGCATGGGGATCATCCCAAGGGTGTAACACCAGTGTCATGTTACTCGTGCATCATGGCATCTGTTCACTACACTTCACTACCTCATGGATATATCGGCAATAATGGTTATTGCACCATTGAAAGCTCCAGTGGTGGACGAACTTCATACAATTTATTGTGGTGGTGTATATTCCAAATGTGCGAGATGGTGATCATGGTAAGACATACACATATAAATATATGCCCCTAAGTGGGTTCAATTGAAGCATGCTGTACTGGATATATTGTATATCGTACATTGATAAGTGTTAAGCTTCCATCGAGAGATCAACTTTTGTATATTATCTACAGTGTGAAAACAATATTGATATAAGCAGAAAAGCTTGCTGCCTAAAGTTGCACTTGTGGCTGCTGGCTCCTCAACAACGGGAAAACAAACATCTCAACTTGCATTGATGGAAAATATATGTTAACGAACAGCTCACTTTAAGGCTATTCACTCTATCCCAATCCATAACAATGTATCTAATGTGCAGTGAGGAACACACTTCTAGGGGGTAGTGAGGAGATCTTGTAACGAGGATAATTGCGATGGCAGCTCCACCCACCCCCCTGCCACTAGCACCAGGAAAAGCCAGACGGGGAAGATTCCCAGAAGCAGCACAAGGCTGAATCCAAGAGGAGGGCCTGGTATATGATTGTAGGGGGGTTGGGAGTGGTGGGGCAGTGTGAGGAAGAATGGGAGGTGGGTAATGGTGAAACGAAGAATGGGACGTGGGTAATGGTGAAACGATCTTTGGAAAACGGGAAATAGTGATTGAGGGTGGAGAGTAGAAGGGAGTTGCCACTGAGTACCACTGAGTACCACGGAGTACCACTGAGTACCACAGAGTACCACGGAGTACCACTGAGTACCATGGAGTACCACTGAGTACCACGGAGTACCACTGACTAGAACTGTCTGCAACCACCTCAACCATTCCTCACATCCTCTCTCACCCACCAGCCATCTCATCCCCCCTCTCCTTTCCACTCGTCTACTCCCTTCCACTCGTCTACTCCTTTCCACTCGTCTACTCCTTTCCACTCGTCTACTCCTTTCCACTCGTCTACTCCTTTCCACTCGTCTACTCCTTTCCACTCGTCTACTCCTTTCCACTCGTCTACTCCTTTCCACTTGTCTACTCCTTTCCACTCGTCTACTCCTTTCCACTCGTCTACTCCTTTCCACTCGTCTACTCCTTTCCACTCGTCTACTCCTTTCCACTCGTCTACTCCTTTCCACTCGTCTACTCCTTTCCACTCGTCTACTCCTTTCCACTCGTCTACTCCTTTCCACTCGTCTACTCCTTTCCACTCGTCTACTCCTTTCCACTCGTCTACTCCTCCACTGACTCGCCCACTCTCCTGATCTTCACCTCATCATTCCCTCACTTCTCTCATTTCATCCATTACTCATTCTTCACAACTTCTCTCACTCACTATTCACATTCTCTCTCTCATCCACCAGCCATCTCATCCTCACCCTCCTTTCCACTCGTCTACTCCTCCACTGACTCACCCACTCTCCCGATCTTCACCCACCCCCTTTATCATTCTCTCTCACTTCTCATTTCCTCCTATACTCAGCCGTCACATCCCCCTTCACATCCCCCTTCACATCCCCCTTCACATCCCCCTTCACATCCCCCTTCACGTCATCTCCTGCTCACCTGCCGTTTCATCCTCTCCCTCCTTCCCGATCATCTTCTCCTCCAACCACTCGCCCACTCACTTCTGGTTTCCTCCAATACTCATCCTTCACAACCCCTCTCACTCACCTGCCATCCCCTCTCACTCACATGCCATCCCCTCTCACGCACATGCCATCCCCTCTCACTCACATGCCATCCCCTCTCACTCACATGCCATCCCCTCTCACTCATATGCCATCCCCTCTCACTCACATGCCATCCCCTCTCACTCACATGCCATCCCCTCTCACTCATATGCCATCCCCTCTCACTCACATGCCATCCCCTCTCACTCACATGCCATCCCCTCTCACTCACATGCCATCCCCTCTCACTCACATGCCATCCCCTCTCTCACTCACATGCCATCCCCTCTCTCACTCACATGCCATCCCCTCTCTCACTCACCTGCCATGCCCTCTCACTCACCTGCCATGCCCTCCTCTCCCTCCTTCTTGACAGTCTTCTCCTCCAGCCACTCGCCCACTCTCTTAGCGGACTTCACCGCTTCCCACTCCTCCACACCCCCGCTCAGCTGCCCAAACCCCTGCTCATCCAGCTCATCCAAAATCGACTTCTGGTTGGAATTTGGGTCCCTGGGGGGAGGAAAAAGGACGGGGGAAAGGGGGATGGTGAGGGAAGGAGGGGGGAAAGGGGGATGGTGAGGGAAGGAGAGGGGAGGGTGGGTGGGGGGAAGGTGAGAGGAGTAAGGGAGGTGATGGTGTTGGGGGAGGGAGGGGGAATGGTATGGAGTCGACTTGAAAAACAAACGCCATTCTCCCATCCTCCACACCAGGCCCCTAGATTTCAGCCTTTTTTTCTATACCAAGGCTGATTTGTCAACCTTTTCCCCAAAAAAACTTGGTGATTTTCTAGTGGTTTTTAAAGGAAATGTGGGTGCACGAGGGAGAGGGGGAGATGGTTTTGACTTTTGAGTCGACTCAAAAGTCACCTCAGGATTTCTGGATGGAGCTAGGGCCCCTGGGGTGGGTGAACGAGGGAGAGGGGGAGATGGTTTTGAGTCGACTCAGAAATTAAGGGGGGGTTGGGGGGGGGGGAGAATGAGTTGCGGGAGGGAGAGGAGGAGATGGGCGTGTGGGGGGAATTTAATACAACAATCCGATTCGCAGGGATTGAAGGAGGTCGAAGGAGGGAGGAAGGAGGAGGGGTGGGGTGTGGGGGGTGGGGGGTGTGGGGGGGGGGAGGGGGGAGGGGGAAGAGGGGAGGGAGAGGAAGGGGGAAGCGGAAGAGGGGTGAGAGGAAGGGACTTGTTACTCCTGACTCTTGCTCGTTCAAATTGACCTAATTTGACTCCTTATCCTAAACCCGTAACCTTGAACCTAGACCCAGCGGACAAAAAAATTACACCCATAGTCCCTGGGAGGGTGAGAAAAGGAGAGGTTGAGGTAGCAGTTGCCGCGAAGCTGCCACGAAACTGCCACGAAGCAGTATGGCGAGAGTAGCAGCTGCCACGGGGCTGCCAAAAATCATGTCTTTCCCACCTTCTGCGAAGCTGCGGGCGCGCGGACGGGGGAGGGGGAGCGGAAGGCCTGGGCGGAGCGGAACCCCCCTTGGGGGAGGCGGGAACCCCGTCTCCCCGTTGGACGCCGAGAATCTCCCGCTCCATATCCGACAAACGACGCCGCCCCCAGACCTGATCTTCCCGCTTCTCCTGGCGACTTTCCCGCCCGTTCGCTAACCCCCCGTTTTCCTTCGCACCGCCTTTTATGACGTCCTTAATCTCCTTTTCCCCAGCTTTAGACCCCCCGTCCCCTTTCGCCGCGCCATTTTCTCCTTTAGGAAGGCTTCCCGGAGCCGCATCGCATCTTATAGCGCGACTTAATCGCCTAGTGGAAATAGGTGACGGAGAAAAGGAGGCAATTGGTATGACGGAGTTTCCATTGCGCGATAGTGCTGCGCGAAACGGGGGAGGCGGTGTGGCGCGCAGCGGAAGAGACGGTGTTGTGCGCGAATGGGGAGGCACGAGAGGGGGAAGGAGCGCAAGTTGAAGCGCATTTGTCGCCATGATAGCGCTACGTCCGTACCGTACGACAAATAGGTCTAGGGGCTCATGCTATGTGGTGTGAATATTTGAATTCTGCTCTCCAAACTGAAGCTAACAGTCTATATCCCCTTTTAGGAATTCTTCCAAATAAATACACTCATAAGTGTTGTATCTTACAGGTAGGCATTGGCACAATGAGTGGTCAAAACAACAGTTGTGCCTATGTCAAGTGCACCTAAAGGCATAAATGCGTGTATGCAGTGTTATCATCATATCAGCTCTACTCATCAAGCACTAACTAAACCTTATCAAGGTTTGACCGGTGAACGAGCGACTATTTCTACTGTGGTTGTGATGACGGCAATGTCTCGCTCCATCACCTTCATCCAATTCTCAAAGTCCCCTATCTCCTGCATGCAAAAAAGGCATTGGGATTAAGCAAGCACCACGCACGTGTGTGTAGGAGCGGGATAACATGTGCAAAGGGGGAGAAGGGAAGAGGAGAGATGTGTGCGGCACATCAGAGTATGGAACACCGCACGTATGCTCCCATGTGCACTTGCATCCTTGTAAATAGCAAATAGCAACCAGAATAGAATAATCCAATGCCCTTTCCATAATATTTCCACAATGCCGCGCCCTTGATTGCCTGCTAGGTGCTCATTACTTTAGCCTTTTATCGATGCTGCTCCTGAAACCGACCCAGGTACCGCATCAGATACCACCTCCCCCAGCTCCGCCTGCACTGGTTGCATTAGATAACGACTTACCTTGATGGCAGTGTGAAGCTCATTGAATGCAGTAGCCCATCTCCTGTGCTGCTCCTGGAATCGAACCACCTCAGATACCACCTCCCCCAGCTCCGCCTGCACTGCTCCCTCCTGCCGCACTGCCTCTCTCACACCTGAGGCCTCGCTAAGTGTTTCTCTTAGCGCTGCTGCCAGTGGCTCCGCTGCCGCCAATGACGCCAGTCTTGCCTGGACTGTTTATACTTAAGACTCACATACGTGGCTATTTTAAGGCCACCACAAATATATGACTGCCTAACTGCCTCCCTCACACCCGACGCTTCACTAAGTGTTTCACTTAGCGCTGCTGGCAATGGCTCAGCTATTCCCAGTGACGCCAGACTTTCCTGGGTTGCACGAAAAGAGGAGCGGGAGGAAAGGGAAAGAATGGTAACAGGGAAAAGGGAAAGTGGGGGTTGCTGGGTGGGAAGAGGGGGGTGTGGGGAAACGTAAGCATTCTGAACAGTCCACTTGAGCTAGGAGTTTAGGGGTGGTGATACTAAGAGCACCGGCGGTGGGAATTCCTCTCACCTAATCGCTCCTGTGTAATGCCCTCCTCCGCGTTTTCCGGAGGCCCCTTTCTGTCGTTTCGCGGCTGATACATTATTAACCGAACCCTGCCACTGATGCGGCTTAGGAGCAGGATGCGTGGGATGGGATATATTCAGCAACAGGTATCCAGCAACAAATATCTAGGAGGTATGGACAAATGTCAAGTTGAGAAATGCATTAATCCGTTGAATTCGCCACTGTTGACCTTATTCTAATGCCGAGGCGCGAATTAGGGGCTCCTGCCAACAGCCACGTAAACATGTGCTGGCGAAATGACATGACGTGACGAAACGCTTACGAAAAGTCGAATGACTGCGACTTAAAAGCATCACTTACAAAACAGATCATCACTATTATCACAATAACTGCAAGTTACTGTCAGAGGACCTGTTTGTGGAGATCAGAGCACGGGGCAAGTCCATTTTTACACTAATGGAGCATTTACCTTCTCTCCTGTAGGCATGCACGGGCTGTAACTGATGACGATGCAGCGCGTTTCAGAAAGATTTGTTGTGGTGGCCGTTCAAACAGGCCCGTTCAAACGTCTGATCTGATGTATGTACCACCACACCCTTATAGCTTATCTAGGATGCTGCAGTGTAGAAATAGACCGACTGGATCCCAAGGAGCATTTCAAATCCCCGCTCTGTAACAGGACAACAATATTAACAAAGAGTTGAAAGATGTTAAACCTCTGACAATAAAAACAGTTTAAACAAACTATGTACTTCAGTGTAATAAGTTGCAGAAGAGCATGCCAACAAATGTGGTAAGGGATACGAACCTGCGAGGGAGCCGAGAAGAGGAATTGGGCGAACGAACGATCGAATGCCTTCGAGAGGATGCCTGCAAGCATGGAAAGAAGAGGTGAGCAAGGCAGCAGAACCCACATTGAGTAAGGGAGCCGAGTGGAGGAATTTGCCGAACAAACAACATACTGAATACGAACAGAGCCAACTTGTTTTGGGATGAAAACAGGGTTACCTCGTAACGGCATCGAAGCAGGGCGAGCGCAGGAGGTACCGTACATGAAAAGCAGCTTGCGCCTACATGTGATGAGTCTATGTCTGAGGCGCCTCAACCATAGAAAAAGCCCACAGGCGGCCAGGTGATTGGTTACCTTGTGACGGCATCGAAGCAGGGTGAGCGCAGGAGGTACATGACAAGCAGCATGTGGATGCCGACATATGGGAGAGAGTCTTGTTCTGAGGTGCCTCATCAAAAGAATAAGTCACAAAAAGCCAGGTCGTTACCTTGTGACGGCATCGAAGCAGGGCGAGCGCAGGAGGTACATGACAAGCAGCATGCGCCGCCGGGCAAGCTGTGGCAGCAAGAACTCGAGATAGGCAGGGAGGGGATAAGAGGGAGTGTAGGTCATGCGCCAATAAGATGAGAGGAACGATGCAAAGCAACTCATCAAAATCCCTGAGTAACAGGTCACAAAAACAGCACAAAAAGGTGCAAACTCAAACATACATGTAGACACTTGTAGACACAAGGGCTGTTCTGATTCTCGTATTATAACAGGAGCAAAACAGCATTTGTAGTTCTCACATCAGCGCGCTCCTCATCCGTCAACTGAAACACCTCCTTCTGTGCCTTCCCTCCATCCGTGCTGCTGCCATCAGCAGCTGTAGCAGCAGCAGCTGTAGCAGCAGAACGAGCAGCAGCACCGCTGCCAGCACCAGCACCAGCACCAGCACCAGCACCAGAACCAGCAGAAGCGGCTGCAACATCAGGACCATCAGTGGCAGCAGTAGAGGTAGCAGCAGACGTAGAGCGATCAGCAGCAGCAGCAGTGGCGGCGGCGGCGGCGGCAGCGGTGGCAGCTTCAGAGGCAGCGTGAGAGGCGAGGCGATGGAGGAGCAGGGAGGCGGCATCGAGGGAGAGGGAGAGCAGCCAGGGGTTCCAGCGCACCCACCACCACCACCACCGCTTGCCTGGTTGGCCTGGCAGTGGTTTCACAGCGGCACTGCCTGGAATACACAGAGGTAAAGGTAGAAATAGAAGAAGTGAGGGAGAGGGAGAGGGAGAGCAGCCAGGGGTGCCAGCGCACCCACCACCACCACCACCGCTTGCCTGGTTGGCCTGGCAGTGGTTTCACAGCGGCACTGCCTGGAATACACAGAGGTAAAGGTAGAAATAGAAGAAGTGAGGGAGAGGGAGAGGGAGAGCAGCCAGGGGTGCCAGCGCACCCACCACCACCACCACCGCTTGCCCGGCTGCCCTGGGAGGGGCTTGACAGCAGCGGTACCTGGAATGAACACAGTGGGAGAGGGAAGAAAGAGAGGACGTGAAAGAGAGGGAGAGGGAGAGCAGCCAGGGGTTCCAGCTCACCCACCACCACCACCACCACCACCACCACCACCACCACCACCACCACCACCACCACCACCACCACCACCACCACCACCACCACCACCACCACCACCACCACCACCACCACCACCACCACCACCACCACCACCACCACCACCACCACCACCACCACCACCACCACCACCACCACCACCACCACCACCACCACCACCACCACCACCGCCTGCCCGGCTGGCCTGGGAGGGGCTTGACAGCGGCACTGCCTGGAATGAACACAGAGGGAGAGGGAGCATGTAGAGAAGTGAGGGAGCGCGAGAGGGAGAGGGAGAGGGAGAGCAGCCAGGGGTTCCATCGCACCCACCACCACCACCACTGCCTGCCCGGCTGCCCTGGCAGGGGCTTGAGTGCTGCTGTGCCTGGGTTGGGGGGAGGGAGATCCCAGGGGAGGATGGCGGGACGGGACAGAACGGTCAGCATCAGCGGCAGCATGAGAAGCGAAGACAAATGTAACGAGCACAAAGAGTCAGTCACATGCGTGAGTTTGCCTTTCCTCCAGCCAGCGGGACCGAGCAGCTCAGGCAGCGGCTTGAATGGCGAGCACGTAGAGGAGCCAAGTGCCACATGACCTTGGGGAAGGATCTTGAGGACGTTGAGGAAGGATCTCTAGCGTGTGGCTACCCTACTTTGTCACACAGAGCAGAGGCGTTTGTCCTCCCACCTGTGGAGTGGATGAGTTGCCCTCACCTGCTCTGGACCGAGCAGCTCTGGCAGCGGCTCGGATGGCAAGCACGTAGAGCAGAGGGCGGAAGATGTGGATGAGCTCTGCTGACACGTGCATGCAGCTGGGGGACGAAATGATGGGAGAGGGGTATGGAAGGAAGGGAGAAGAACAACTGTGAGTCACGGCGAATGGCGAGCACGTAGAGGAGCGGGAGGAAGATGTGGATGAGCTCTGCTGACACGTGTATGCAGCTGGGGGGAGCGGTGGACATGGGGAGGGGGATGGACGATGAGGGGGTTGAAGAGTGAGGGGCTGTGCTCGAATGGCGAGCACGTAGAGGAGAGGGCGGAAGATGTGGATAAGCTCTGCTGACACGTGCATGCAGCTGGGGGGAGCAGGGAGGGGAGAATGGATGGGGATATAGAAGAGGAGGCGAAAACAACGGTGATTCATGTTCACCGTTGTATGATGGCTTGAATTGAATGGCGAGCATGCAGAGCAGAGGGCGGAAGATATGAATAAGCTCTGCTGAGACGTGCACGCAGCTGGGGAGATGGGTTGATGGGGATACAAGAAGAGGGGGTGAAAGGTTGGGGGATGTGCTCCGATGGCTCGTAAAGCAGAGGGCGGAAGATATGGATGAGCTTATATGCAGGCAGCTGGGTGGGGGATGGGGGGGGTGGGAATATAAGACGAGGGGAGTGGGGTACCATGGTACAGGGCAGCAGAAAGCTCACCGAATCCAGTCAATCTGTTTTGACTTGGCCACGCGTTTGAAGTAATGTTTTGAGACGTCTCAAAACATTACTTCAAACACGGGGTGGGCATGGTACAGGGCAGCAGAAGACTCACCGAATCCAGTCAATCTGTTTTGTCTTGGCCAATGCTTGACTTGGTTCGCTGGCTGACGTGGCGGCCCCATCTTCCACACGTGCAGCTGACATGGCGTCAGCTGGAGCCTTCTCAGCAATCCCGTTGGAATCAGCCGTCTCTACCCTGCCTAGGTGCTCCATACCCTCTGCTGCTGCGTTCACAGCAGCACCAGCACCAGACACAGCAGGACCACTGGACGAAGCAGCAGCAGCAGATGCAGCAGCAGCAGCAGCATTCCTCACCACACCAGCACCACCGTTTTCCTGTGCCCAATACAGCTGCTGCTGCTGCTGCAGGTTACGTTGTTGCTGCTCATAATACCACTGCTGCTGTTGGTACTGCTGCTGCTGCTGCTGCTGCTGCTGCTGCTGCTGTTGGTACTGGTTCTGGTGGTGGTGCTGGTGCTGGCGGTGGTAATGGCGGGAGTGCTGCTGCTGCAGCTGCTGCCCCCCCACCTGCCTCTGGAACCTTTGAAACGCCCCCAGTGCCCTGGTCGTGGCTGCCTGCTGCCCATTCACGCCCTGGTGGTTACCACTGTTGTAACCCATCGGACCGGCTGTGCTATGCGGCTGCTGCTGATACAGGGACGGCTGCTGCTGGGCTTGTAACGAGGATGAAGTTGATGGGGTAGGGGAGGGTTTGCTGGGGCCGGGGTTCTCCGTGCTGCCTCCTCCAATGAGAAGTCGCCACCTGTCGCGGTGCAACAGGAGCAGGCGGATTGCGGCCCTGCAGGGACGACACGTCAGCATCCCAGTCAGCATGAGAGAATGGGGAGGTGGAGTGGGAGTAGGTGGAAGAAGGAGGGATGCGGAAGGAAAGGAGAGAGAAAGGACGAAGGGAGAGAGAGGGTGAGGAAAAAACGAAAGACAATAACCATCTCTGACTCTACATTTCATGAGAAGCAAAACAACTTCTGAGGCGCCTCAAAAGTCAACTCTTGTGTAGCCGCAAATCCGCCTTTGACTCAAAGATTATGGATTGCCATTACAAGAGTATTGTTCTCTTCGCCTCTCACTGTATCCCCCTTGCTTGCTTCATGGTTTGACCTGCCTTCAAAACATTTCGAGACGTCTCAAAAGTCTCTCACTGTATCCCCCTTGCTTGCTTCACGGTTTGACCTGCTTTCAAAAACATTTTGAGACGTCTCAAAAGCCTCTCACTGTATCCCCCTTGCTTGCTTCACGGTTTGACCTGCTTTCAAAAACATTTTGATTTGAGACGTCTCAAAAGTCTCTCACTGTATCCCCCTTGCCTGCTTCATGGTTTGACCTGCTTTCAAAAACATTTCTCCCGCATTGAACCTCCCTTGGCGGCTTCAATGCCAGCAACGGCCGTCCACTTGCCCTCCTCCCCCAGCCATTGCTCGGCCGCCATCTCCCCATCTACCCTCCCCATTTTCCCCCCCACCCAGTGACTCACTTGGCTGCTTCGATGCCAGCAACAGCAGTCCACTTGCCCTCCTCTCCCAGCCATTGCTCTGCCGCCATCTCCCCCAGCACCTCCCCCTCTTTCACCACCGCCAGCACCAGCGCCCACGGCAACAATCCCGCCCTTCCCGCCCCCCCCTCTTCCCCCTCCCCCTCTCCCTCCTCACCTCCTCCCCCAGCCTCCCCCGCCCCCCTCCTGCCACCCCCCCTTCCCCCTATTATTTCCCCCGCTCCTCCCCCCCATCCCTCCACCCCTGGGATTTGTCCGCCAGGGGGGAGGGTATGGGGAGGGGGATAGGGGTACGGGGAAGGGGGGAAACCAGTGGCGGGGAAGGGATGGGGCGCAGAATGCGGGGGGAGATTGGGATTGGGGGAAGGGGAGTGGGGGAAGGAGGCAGGGTGGCCGATGACAGGGGGAGGGGTAAAGGCTGGACGGGAGTGTGGGTGGGGATGATAATGCTGCTGGTGTTGTTGGTGCTGCTGGTGATGTTGGTGCTGTTGGTGGTGGTGGGGATGTTGCTGGTATTGTGGATGCTGAATGATCTCTGGACCGTAAGGATAGGGTGGTGCTGCGGGAAGGTTCAGGTTCGGCGCATGGAGATTCGGAGCGTGGTTCGGAGGGAGGTTCGGAGGAAAGCCGTTGGGTGGGAGGAGAGGGAGATTGGAGTTTGGGTTGTGAAAAAGCCGTTGATTGTGTGGAGGGAACGAAGAGGGTTGATTGGAAGGCCTATGGGAGCGCGTGGTGGCTTGAGAAGGGGCTTCAGTGGGAGCTGTCTCGATAATGTGGTCGTTTATAACGGAGATCACTCCAATTAATGTCGAAACTGCCACCAAAACAAGGAAAAACGAAGAGGTGAAATCTTGTACCATTTGCCAGAAATTAACCAGGTGCGCACATATATTGCAGCCGTCAATAGTTTTGCAAAAATACTCGGAGAAACAGAAATGAGAGACCAGAAACGATAGCTTACGAGCTTCTGGCGCGAGCTCTGACTCGGCGAATCGGTCAGGAAGGAGCCATGTCAGGGTCTGTGCATATGGGGACAGAGAGAGGGAGAAGCAGGTAGAGAGAGAGGGCGAGATAGTCAGAGAATCGAGCTTCTGGTGCGAGCTCTGACTCGGCGAATCGGTCAGGAAGGAGCCATGTCAGCGTCTGTTCATGTGGGGATGGAGGGAGGAAGAGGTGGGCAGAGAGAGGGGACGAGGTGGGCGTAAAAACTTAGCCGTTTTGCGAGTTCTGTTTGCGGATACAAAGAGATAAGTCAGGTGGTGTCGAACAATATAGTAGTCCAACTCAAACGAACGCATGCACACTGACAAAAGGCACTCACATTCGCCATGCTTTCGGCCGACGACAGCCATTGTCGGTTGCGGCGAACCCAGTCCTTGTACGCGTCGAACACCGCTACCGCCATGACCGCGACTTGCGCTGGCTAGTTATGAATCCGCTTACGAGTAAGTCTTCTACTTAATATCGAACCCAGTCCTTGTACGCGTCGAACACCGCTACCGCCATGACCGCGACTTGCGCTGGCTAGTTATGAATCCGCTTACGAGTAAGTCTTCTGCTTAATATCGAACCCAGTCCTTGTACGCGTCGAACACCGCCACAGCCATGACCGCGATCTTCGTTGGCTAGTTCTAAATCTGCTTACGAATAAACTCTTCTACTCAATATCGAACCTAGTCTCTGTACGCGTCGAACACCGCCACCGCCATGACCGGGATCTTCGTTGGCTAGTTCTAAATCTGCTAACGAATAACTCTTCTACTCAATATCGAACCCAGTCTTTGTTACGCATCGAACACGGCCACCGCCATGACCAGGCGCTGCGTTGGTGATTGTAAATCCGCTTACGAGCTCTGCTACTCAACATTGCACAGTCCTTGCACGCATTGATCATCGCCACCGCCATGATGGCTTCCTGCTCTTCATCGTCGCGTTGCGCTCACGAGTTTCGTACCCAAATCTAGAGACCCTCCACCATAGCTTGTTCCCTCATCATAGATTTTGAGGTGCTCAACTTGGAGCTTGGCAAGCTGGAGTAAAACTAGGATTTAAATGAAAAACAAACTTATATGTCTCGTAAAAGTTGTGAGTGTACATTGCTCTCCGTTTTGGCCAGCATCGTCCGGTAACGAAGTATTACCGCAGTGTTCCTTGATGTCTGATGGTTCTCATCTGCTTCTCATCCCACCTTCCGTTATCGCGAGTGTATCAAATCGTCTGGGATGAGGTTCAGGACGGTCGACATGAAAATTTCAATATATTTTCTCAGAATCTGCATTCCATTTGCTGAAATGTTTGCGAGGTATGTGAACTTCAATGATCCTTCATCATAAGAAACAGACACAGCCACACAGGCTGGTAAGATAGTTCTAACAACCAACATGCCAGCAATCAAGCCATGAAGAACATACTATCTCATGACCAGAGGCTACCATGCTGGAAAACAGGAGATGCAGCACCAGTCAGACTGGCACGGCAAAAAGAGGATAGAAAATGAAACCATATACAGCACCAGCACCAGGCTACATGGCACCGGAAAAAGGGTGGTGAGAGAGAGTAGCAGGGTCCTTGAAGGTGATCTGGGGCTGAAGCACAGGAGAAGCAAACCCGTGGAGGTACACCAGCTGCCGCCAGCGCAAAAAAAACGGGTGTGCACCAATCTTGCACCTCCATCCCCTCACAACCGAGGTGAAACTTGAATCCCTTAACCCGCGTCCATCTCTATTGATACATGAAGGTGAAAACCCATGCTCAGTGAGAGCTAAAATGAGAGCTGGAATGAGATGAAACTCTCAAAACCGCATGGTTTCTGTTCAAGGTTCAGATTTGAACGCCGAGAAGGGATGGCCTGGGGCGGATGAATTGATGGTAGCTCGGCTTCTGGCGGGGCTCCGGGGATGAAATCGGGGTGAAGAATTCGGATACTCCCGAGGACGAGCCTGACGACGACGCTGAGATAGAGCGCGACTCGGCCTCGAACGCGGGGAGACTCGCGAGACGCCACTTGTACGCGCTGGTAGCGTCTTCGTTAAGGTCGTTCTTGATTGGGAGTATATCTTGGAATGAAATTGTCTCGCGGGTCTCAGCTGAATTCGTCGCGAAGACATCAGATGAGTCGCCTGTGCGAGGAATCTTCTTGGGATGTGTGTGGTCGGGCGACACAGCAGGCGACGAACTGGGCGACGCTGTCGCAAGGCCGGTGGTCGTCGACGGCGACAACGGCGGCGACGACTGCAAGCTCCGCACGACAAGCTCGAGAAGCGAAGCTGCCGCGTCGCGCTTGGCCTTACTGGCGGCAGTTGCGCTGCGCGCAGCCGACGTGAGTCTTCCTGCAGAAGGACGCTGCTGCTTCGGAGACAGGTTCGGCTGTCGAAGCGTCAGAGGCTCGACAACATGAAGGGCCTTCTCGTTGCAGGTGGTGGTCGCAGCAGTGTCAGTAGAGAGTTGCGCTACGACAGCCTCCAGCTGTTGCGACTGCTGTTGCGATACCTGCTGCTGCGACTGCTGCTGCGACGGCCGCGACGGGAACACCTGCGACGCCTGTCGCGGGAACACAGCTCGTCGCGCGTGGGCGAGCCACGGGTGCGACATCACACCATCGATGTCAAATCTCTGCGCAGGATCGACGATCATCATTCGGCAAATCAGATCCCGCGCCGCGATCGACAATTTGGCCCATCCCGCGCTCCGGAAGTCGTTCGGGGTCAGCTGACGCCGGTTTCCGGGAAACGCGGGCCAGGTGGAAGTGAGCATGGAGTAAAGGAGCACGCCTAGGGACCACACGTCAGCCTTGGTGTTGTACGGCTGCTCTGCGAGCATCTCCGGCGCTTCGTACGGCATGCTTCCACCGATCCCAACCATCGCGCACCCCGGCTTCAGCTGAAACGCCAAACCGAAATCCGCAAGACGAACGGATAGATTATCCGCGATAGAGACAGAGGAGGATCCGGTAGTAGCGGCGTTGATGGTCGTTGACTTGGTGAGAAGGATGTTCTCCGGTTTGATGTCGCGGTGAACGATGCGGTGTGCGTGGCACCATCGCACGGCGCGGATGATCTGAACGAAGATTTTCGCCGCGGACGCCTCATCCAGACCGTTGCCTGATCGGTCGACCAGATCGAAAAGATCCCCGCCGCTGCACAGCTCCGTTACTAGATACACGGTCTTCTCGTCGGCGTACACATGCGCGAGCGACAGAATATTTTTGTGGCTGCCCAGAAGCGACAGGGAGTAGATCTCCCGTTGAAGATCCGCCATCTCAGATTCTGATAGGCCCGCGGTGCGAATCTGCTTGCACGCCATGGGCTGACCCGAAGCGCGATCCACGCAGCGCCATACCTTGCCGTACTGACCCTCGCCGATGATGTCGGAGAAGGCGAAATCTTGCCAGAGCTGCGACGAAGGCTTCGGCTGCGGCATGATCGTCGGAGCTTGCGACTGATATAAAAGGATGCGAACGGACTTCTGACGGGGACTGAAGTCACACGAAGTGAAGGACCTCTATAATGCAGACACAACACAACTTTGAACTAATGAGCTGTCGATCTAGTGAACCTCTGAAGAGATGAGGATGGGAACAGGATAACTAACTGAAGTGAGACGGGCGTCTAATATACAACTCCACTAGACATAAGCGCCTTGAGGGAAGGTAGTTCCACCTCCTCCTCCGTTGCTTTGGTTGGGAAAGAGCGGTAACTGACGCGTTTCTCGGTTGTCGTATTCCAAACAATTCGCTAGGGGATAAAAGAGACCGTCGCGGGTGCAGTGGTAGTGCAACAGCGAGTGAGGCACCGCCGACGAATCGTTGGTAAGAGAAAAAGAGCACGTGTGTCCGGTACAGAAACGCCAGGAACATAGACAGAAGTACCTGGAAGGAAACTGGTGAAGAGTGCAGCAGCAGCCAGGAGCCAAGAGGAGGTCCGCAAATGGCAGCGGCAGCGGCATCCCTTTGGCAGTGCGAGACAAGGATGTGGTTGAAATGTCGCATCGCATACTGCGCTCCCTAATGTTTGGGTGGAGTGTACGACGCGCAGAGCAGCAGCAGTTTGTTCCCCAAAGCTACTTGTGCATTCCCCATGTCCGAGTTCGGGGCGCGGAGCAACATCTTGTTGCGGGGAACTAGACAGATTATTTACCGTTTGAGAAGGTTTACAAAAAGGTAAATAATGGTTCAAGACGGTGACACTTTATAACCGATTCAAATAGCAACAAACCGCAATCAACCCTTCTGGTTTAGCTCTAATGAGCTGAGACCCACATATGCACATCATATCCCCGAAGAGTGTGAACCCGCGTAGATATAAGGGGCTGGTTGGAACTCAGCGACTGGTAACTGGATCCTCTCGAATGCACGACGAATAGTTTCGCCAATACGTAGCCAATCGTAACCAGCGTTGTTCTGACATAGCCGTCGCTTTGGGTGAGCATGACGCTGGCATGCGAAGGGGCATTGTTTCCGCGAAAATGAGGAAGGAAAGGAGGCCAGCAGGAGACAAGTGCCACCCACCCACACATACGCTCACTCGACTCATCCAACCAACCAATCCCAAAAGAGGCAGTGCATGGACACTGCCAAAACAAAAACCGAGTCGTGCGCACCTTCGACATGACGTCAGCGAAACAATTTCTACCAATAAATTTAGGTTACTGTTCTAGAGGATGTTTAGGGCGTGTCTGAAGTGAATTTCGACGTTTGCCGACGAAACTTTCGTCGACGTTCCTTGACGAAACTCGACTTCAGCTGTGTTCACTTCAGACACCCACACGACAAAATAACCCACACGTGCCATAGGAACACTGTTATAAGTTGCCCATGAAAATTCGACGTGGAATTAACAGAATCATTCATGTAACTCAATTGTTTGCAATCTCGCGAATTTCGCTTAGCATAGATTGTTGCTGGTAACACCGGATATTCTACTGTCACATTGCCAGCGAAATTTCTCTAGCACGTGTCGCTCTCGTCTTAGTTCTTATTCACGTGTGTTTGCCACAGCTATGCAGACATGGCGTGTCGAAGAATTGTTTTTGAAACACTCACTGACTACAGTGACTCAAACAGCTGCCCGGTATCACTGTTCGACATCCCTCGACATGTGCACGAACGTCGAGTTTCGTCGAGGGATGTCAGGCTGCACTTCAGACACCAACACGCGTGGGTCCCACGGATGAGTTTCGTCGACGAATTTGACGAAACTCGACGTTTGCACTTCAGACACGCCCTTAGTTGCATTCCATTCCCGCCAAAAACTCGCGCACCCGCTGCAAAACAGCAAGGATGTGGCTGCAGTTGCATGTCAAAAGCTGTCTTCACTTGCCTTTGATTCCGGTCTGGTCCAGATTTCGTACAAAATCCACTTCGTCCCTTGCCAAGCCTCCAAGTGTTTCACTTACGACCATGTCAAGAGGTCCACTTTACAGCGAGGCGCGAAAGGCAGCCAGCGAGACCTACAGTACGTGGCAGGTTCATAACGCAAACCGTAGAGACATCCAATGGGCATCAGCACCGACGACAAAGGCAGGGTCTCTCGTTCTAACAATGAGACAAGCGTCCACACATCAGTTGTTGATCAATCCAGCCTGGCGTGGCGACCTTCCCCGTCTGGTCCACCTTTACCAAAAAAACGAGACTAGCTTATTGTAAGGAAAATTCCTTTTCCTTACTTCGCGTCCCTGCTTACCGCGTACATGCCCGTTCCCGCCATCGGCACCCATCCGTGAACGTTACCCGCTCGCGACATTCGCCTCGACCACGACTCCCGCCACTGTTCACGATGCGACCCAACCTCACGGATCGGTTGGTAACCCGCGCTCCGGACCTCCGCCTCGACAATTCCCAACCTCGGCGCTAGGCCCGTAGCGCACCCCAATTTCCCGCATTACCGTTACCACGCTAGCTTCGCTATATAAATTCGCTCATGCTTTTCGCTCAACTGTATTGATTGCTTCGATAGTGCAATTCTCGCTCGCTCACTCAATTGCACTCGTAACACTTGGTATCAGGGCCTACGATCTCCTCTCGGACCGCACCCACACCTTCGCTTCCCCACTATCTCAATTTTTTGGGGGGGGGGTAGACGTCTCTCAGCGAACAAGCACCGCCGCTCGTAGTGCTCTCTCGTAAGCAAGCACGGCCACGACAGAGGCTCCCGCTGAGTTTGCCCGACACCCCCGCCATGGCCGAAATTAATCTTGCGACATTGACGCAGGAGCAGCTCGACCGTCTCGTGCGTCAACTCGAAGATTCGGCACTCGAAATCGCGACACTCACGGCGGAACGTGACTCCCCCCGCCATCAATCAACGGTGAATGCACCAGCTCCATCACAAGCACCCGCAAATGCACCTGCGCAATCAGAAGAACCGATCGTCATCTCATCAGGCACACCGACGCAAAACGACAGCGTGGGACATTGCTCAGGCGCAGCCAGTGATGGCGCCGCTCAATCGATGCCTGGCATGGAGAGAAATCGGGCCGCGCCAAGCCCGCGTGGGCCTCGCGAAGCTCGTCGGCACGTGGAGTTTGCAGCAACAAGTGGCAACCACGACATCATGGCACCGATGCCACTCAAGCCGCAGCGCCCGCCCTGTTTCGATCCGAGCCAACGTGGAGGTCCGACGGTTCAGTCGTGGGTCTTCACGATGAACGTTTTCTTCGACGCAATTTACGTCGAGTCGGACGCAGCGAAGATTCGTTACGTTGTTTCGCTGCTGAGGGGCCCCGCCATGGACTGGTGGCGAGTCATCGTGACGTCGCCACGCGCCTACGAGCCACCGTCACAAGAGGAAGGGCCCACGGGTCCAGCCGTCACCTGGAGTTCATTCTGCGAAACAGCCCAATACAGCACGTGGGATGCGTGGTGCGCAGGGCTTCGGGCGCGCTTCGAGCCGATCGCGGCTTCTATTTCAGCGCGTCAGAGACTGCGTACTTGGCGGCAGCTCGGGTCGGTTCAAGACTACACGAGTGGTTTTCTCGCATCATGCGAGCAAGTCGGCTACATGCACGAAGCGGAACGGGTGGACCGTTACGTCGGAGGGCTGAAGCCGGACATCTCGCACGAAATCATGCTACGCGGACTCTCGAATTTCAACGAGATTCTCGCGCTCGCCGAGAAAATCGACATTTTACGCCGACCGAGACCGGGGTCCTACTACGGACATCGCCTCGGGGACCGATCGAGCACGCCACTGTACATGCCGTTGCGACAAATGCAGCTGCCGCGCCGTTTAAGGGGCGCTGCTTTGCTTGCAATAGGCCAGGCCATCGCAAGAGTGAATGCCCAGAGGAGCTGAGGCGCCGCGGAGCAGAGCAGGGGAGGGAGTCTCCAAGGCAGGGAAACGCCAGCAGTCAGTAGGAATCAGGCCAACTACTGACGAGACTGCCTGCTCGCCCAACCTCACCGACCCTCACCGAGTCACAGTACCGATTCATGCTATCGATCGGGCTCGGATGAATAAGGAGGGTACAGCGACGGATTGCCCAGTACTGATCCACGGGAAAATACAGGGAGCAGCAGTGAAGATTTTTATCGACGGAGGCGCAAGTCACAGCTTAGTTAATACCGCGGCCGCACGAAAACTACAACTGACACTGAGTCGGTGTTTACCGGAGATAGACGCACGCTTAGTTGACGGCACACCACTGGCCATACGGGAAAAAGTGGAGAGAGTAAAGGTCCGCTGCGGGGGGAACTTCGGTTTTACACAGGAAATGCTCGCGACGACACTGGATGGGCACGACATTTTACTGGGACGTGATTGGTTGCGACGGTATAACCCGCGAATTGACTGGACGACGGGTAGCTGCACTGTGCGAAGTAGCGGTAACTGGGTGTCGCTACCACGCTGGCAGTCGCCCGAGTCTTCAACGGTCCACGTCAACGCCATCACGATGAAACGGGATGTCGTCGCTGGAGCTGACGTGTACGCAGTGGATATAGCGTTGATAGGAGAAGCAGAGCAGCCGAGTGATTTTCAGAAACTGTTGGCAGCAGTACCGCCCGAACTACAAGAACTGTTGAAACGATACCCGGGGATTTTTCCAGACGACTTACCGGGGGGACTGCCACCTCAGCGGGCACATGACCACCGAATAGAGTTAGAACCGGGGGCACAGCCAACCGTACAGCGACAGTTCAGACTGACACAGCCCGAGCTCGATGAGCTGAGGAAGCAGTTAGACTACCTGTTAGAGAAAAAGTTCATCCGACCGAGCTCGTCACCGTTCGCCGCACCGATACTCTTCACACCAAAAAAAGACGGAGGGTTTCGCATGTGCATCGATTACAGAGCACTGAACCGGGTAACAGTCAAGTCGCGATACCCCATTCCCCGCGCTGACGAACTGATCGACCAGCTGCGAACAGCACGGGTTTTTTCGAAAATAGATTTACGGGGAGGTTACCATCAGATTCGGGTCGA